TGAAGCAGATCAGAAAGCAAACTAAAAGATGCAATACTACTAACTCCATACTGTAGTCTCAACGCTTAGGACTTCTCCCCTTAATCAATTTTGCCTCCACTTCTATCTCTCCGTTGATTAGTTCTTTGGTTCGCAAGAGGCTCATGTTTTAGATACCGGATTTTCCTGAGTTCTTTTTATTCTGGACCGTAGGTGATAGTCTACATCTGACCTTAGTACACGGGGGATCTGCTCTTCTTATCAATTGCTGTCATTCCTGTTTATTCTTTTATTACTGCTGCTCCCTCTTTTTCTTCAATTATCACTTATTCTTTTTTCGCCTCTCATATACTTCCCTCCCCCTCCATTACCATTCTTCTCTCTACTGACCTTACTTAATTCTTGTCCTCTTCCTATCCTCTCACAGCATTGGGGGTGTCCGTTATCGGTTTGCGCCTCGTTCCTTTTTCATGGCCCTGTAAAACCTTAAAAGTTCCTTCATCCTCCCATCTGCTCCAGTTGCCTTCCTACGACTTCCGGCCATCCTCTTGTTCACCACTTTTGCCTCTTCGCTAGATGTCGAGTCCACAAGGTATGTACATGCAGCTCGCAATTGTGCAATGTCAATGCTACACACCCTTTTCGCCATTGTTCTTTTTTTTTTTCTTCGCTATCTTCCGAAAAGTTGAAAGGCGGTGATCCTTTTCTCGAATCCTATTTTATCCTGATTCCTCTTTTGTGTTACTCGAGGATTTGTACCGTGATACCTTCGTTGCCTCTCTCATCCCGGACAGTGACATGACTACGCTCCAACGCTCCTTCTACTGATAATGCAAACGCCCTTCCACCTCCAATCTTCCCCAATCTTCTGTCCGGTTCGTCTTTTGTCTCCACTGGGTCAGATCAATTCATCTTGGCAACGATCTACCCGCTTGACACCGTCATTTGCCTCTTGGGTGTGAGGTTGCACATCACCTAGATGCCCATTGCCACTGTCCTGCGTTTGTACAGTCTTGACAAAGGCGACCCTTCCCGGCTAACTCTTGGTCAGATTGTATTTACAGGGGCCGTTTCTTTGAACGACTCATCCTTTGATCTCTTCGTCTGTGGATCAAGGTTGCTCTCTTCACGCTGTATCTATCACAGCTTGTTTCATTCAGACCTTTCTATCGTCAGCCTGTATCTTGTGTCTAGCCACACAAGTCCGGCCGGATGCCATACACTGCGCCATTGAAGTCGTCGCCTTCTGCGCAGCACATTGAACATTCTCAACCCATCTCTCACTCTTGTCCCAGCTCACCACCATCGGTCGCTTCGAAAGCTGGGCGTCCGCACCTCCCACGTTCCTACTCATCTACCGCTTATGTTCGCAGGCACAGAAGGAGCCCGTCGAGCAGCAAGTCCTTTGTCTTCCCAGCTGCTGACAATCGTCCTAAAACTAACCATGTTGTCGACACTCTGGCTAGTGTCCGACAATCCCCGCCTCCGATAAGCGATGCCATGATCCCTCCAGGGGCAGTGATATCTCCGCCGGAGTCGGCTCTGAATTCAAGTGATGAAGAGTTGACGCATCAGCACCGGGACGCACTGAAGCTGGAGGAACTCGAGGCGGCCGTGAGGTCCATTGAGCAGCGACGGACGCCTTCTCCGGAGAGGGAAGCAGCAGCAAAGAAGCCGTCGTCGAGTACGGCACCGCAGGAGTCTTCTCGCCCACCACTAACCAAGGAGGCTCGCAAAATCTCACACTCTCGGTCGGTAACCGAAAGCTCTATTTCCCAGAAGAACGAAGAAGCTTTGACAAGCTCGCCGGAAGAGAGTGAGAGGGACGATGAGCCCCAGAGGAAGCAGCCTATGGTGCGAAAGAAGTCAGGAGAACTTGTGAGACCCGCTCTTCGCCCTCCGTCGGCGCGGCGGCGGCCGTCTAGCATGCCGGGTACGCCCACTTACGCCAAGGCGGTGCATTTTGACTCTCAGCTCGAACACATTCGTCACTTCTTGCAGTTGGACAAGCCACAGGCGGTCAGTGCCAACACGTCTCCTGTGGAGGACTATAACAACGAAAGTGAATTTCCCTTTGAGGTGCCTTCCTTCGAGTGGGAGATTCGGCTTTCAAACTTCCCCAAGGATGTCTCCTCCAGAGCTTCTCAAAAGGTGCGACTCGAACGACTATTCCTGTCATCAGACAAGAATACATTGGTTGGCGTGGTGGCAGTTGCCAATCTGGCTTTTCATAAGCATGTTGCCGCTCGCTTTACCTTCGACTACTGGAGGACAGTCTCTGAAGTTACTGCGGAATACAGTGACGATGTCCGTCGGAAGCAAGCTCATGACGGCTATGACCGGTTTACCTTCAGCATCAAGCTCACTGACCATGCAAACTTGGAGCAGAAAACCATGTTTGTCTGCATCCGCTATAGCGTGGCTGGGCAGGAATTTTGGGACAACAACAATTTTATGAATTACCAAGTCAACTTCGTTCGGATCCCCCGGCCACGACCAGAGCCGCGGAGCCCGTCCGCTGCAAGCTCGCGCCCAGCTCTTCCTCGCAGCAAGAGCTTTGCTGGCGTCAACAGCCGTCCTTCTTCGATGCCTTCCTCGCTCGATGATTTTGATGAGGATATGAACGATTATTTATCCTTTGGTCGTCCTAAGAAAACCTTGAAAGAGGAATCTTCGCCCGAGAATCTGTTGAAGGAGGTTCACAGAATGTCTGCTTCCCGCGAGAAGCAAGCACGACAAGCGTTCGGCAATCGCTATGATTTTGGGGCCTCCTTGTCCGCCGTCATGCGGACCAAGCCCGCCCATGATCGCACGACTCTGACCGCTCGAGCAAAGTCTGACACTGTGAACGGGGACCCTGTCCCGGCGGGAGGTCTACATGTCAAGAAGGTGTCCCCAGTTAGCGAGGTCAGCTCGCAACTTGCACACTCGGAACACGTGAAGCCCTCGTCCCTCTTGTCCAGCAAACCCCACCATGATTCATCTGTGTACAAAGAACTCGTCGACAAGTTCTGTTTCTATGGATCCTCGAAGGGCTCCAATGGCACCAACGACTCGCTTAGTAACGGGAATTCGCATCCCGATTCTTCGAGCACATCCAGCACCTCCCCCGCACAATCCTTGTCGCCTCCTCTCTCACCGCGTTCGACAGAGGTCTTGGGCATCGACTATGGGAATAGCCGCTCGTCGTCTGCTAGCCCAGTCAGCTCAAGCCCCCGTGCAGCTTCGTCATCACCAACCCATTTCGACTATGCTCATCACCCTCACATGCAGAGCAACTTCTTGAAAGAGAGCCCGACTCCGGCAGTCATCAGAGGTTGAGTTCGCGCTCTTCCATGACTACTGGTAAACAAATTGGGCCCATCTTCACCGTCATTGTACCTCTTCTCACGCTATGGTTGAAGGTCGCCCAGTACTTTGATACCCACTCGTGAGACGATCTATTCGAGAGATACATGCATCGACCCCCCTCAATCCACCATTTCTCTACCCGATCAGTTGTTTGCTGAGTTAGCAAGGGACCTATTGTCGCCATTGCTTATAACAGCTATGGCTTGTTAACCTGGTTTTAATACTCTTTTTTCCTTTCCTTTACTCTGGTGTTCAAGTAAAGTATTGAGGCCTTTCCCTTTGCGATGTACCATAAACCGCGGGGAAGTGCCTTGTACTTGCTTATTTTCCTCTTTTCCACGAAGCAATGATTACGGTGGAAAGCAAATTATGTTCATGCATGATTATGCTCAGTGTGGTCTTTTTGATATCAGTCTTGATTTGTTTGATGAGTACGATGATACGAATTTTCTTCTCTGCGTTTGTTCCTGCATAGTAGTCTGGTAGTCTGCTTAACAGCATTCTATGAGATGAAGCATTTGCAATCAGGAAAAGTTTCCACACAGTTTATGCTGTTGTTATTGAACATTGCTCAGCTTTAGTTGAGTTTCTGCATGGAGTTCGGGGTTCTGTGCTACATTTTGCCGTTTTTGCTATGGTGCTCTGGGCGGGTAACAATGCCTTTCTTGTATTGTCTGCCACATGTGGGTAGTTCTGGTATGATATGTGGAGGCTACGACAATTCTCAATACATTAAACACACGTTATTACAGTGTTCTGACTCAATATTTTCCTTTAGTCTTGTAGTCTTGTAGTCGACGCAAAACCGAGCACGTCCAGCTGCTGATGGTATGGATCATTACGTAACTTACGCTGAAGATGACCCCCTGTCAATATTCTTCTAACTCCATCCAAGGTCGCTGACTGACATATTTTGGTATTCTTAGATAATGTACTTCTCGAACGCGTCGGTCAAGTGAGAGGTATGAGAGAAGGATTGCCCGACATGATTAGGAGCGGCTGCAGGTTTAGATGTGGGGTGTCGGAAGGTAGAACCCCAGATGGCCTCGATCCTTGAGTGATTGCTGGGTCAAACTTCCGATTGGACTATCAGGGAGTGACCGTAAGAGATAGCATAATCACGCAACAGAAGACAGAATCCATGATTAGCATTGACTACGCATATCTATACTTTTCTGGCGTACAACTTCCCTTGGAGATAGATACCTTGCTAGAAGCTTGACGTTGGTGATAGAGTGTGCCGCCAAGGCGTCACGTGACCATACCCGCCTGATGCGCCCACGTTGCTGGTTCACCCCGGCAAAACTGCGCCAGAAACCAACAGCAGAAACATGGACTTGAAAGCAGCCGTTCATAACGCCCTTTTTCCCATCCGCCTCCCGCCAATCATCTCGTCTCATTGCTTTTTGACCCTTCCAGATCAACCCCTGGGCTTAGTCATTCACTGAAACCGCGAAAAATCACGCTGTCGCTTGCTGACCGCCCCGAAGACCTATTTAAGGATACGCCTCCTTCGCCCCTGCTTCTTGACTTGCTCTCTTTTTCTTCCCTTTTACTACTACTCAATCCAGCCAGCGACGCGCCACATCTGCCATAAGCTCCGCAGGTCGTTTTCATCAACTTTCCATCTATTTTCTTATCATCTTATCTTTGAGTTTTTTATTTTCAATATGACTGGACGTAAGTATTATGTTTGATATGATCTTTTTCCTCTGTCGTGCTTATCATCCTTGGTTGTTGATGGCTTCCGGTTGAGATGGGTAATGATGATTCGCGGCTGGGTGCACGTGACATGTTGTCACTACCTCAGTCCAACGCGTCATCATATGTCTATGTCACCTCGACATTGACAGCCATTCGCTATCTCTTTCTTTAATCAAGACCACAGTGACTAACAATCATGTTTTACAGGCGGCAAAGGAGGCAAGGGTCTCGGCAAGGGTGGCGCCAAGCGTCACCGTAAGATCTTGCGTGACAACATCCAGGGTATTACCAAGCCCGCTATCCGCCGTCTCGCCCGTCGTGGTGGTGTCAAGCGTATCTCCGCCATGATCTACGAGGAGACTCGTGGTGTCCTCAAGTCCTTCCTCGAGTCGGTCATCCGTGATGCCGTCACCTACACCGAACACGCGAAGCGCAAGACCGTCACCTCTCTCGATGTCGTCTATGCCCTCAAGCGCCAGGGCCGTACCCTCTACGGTTTCGGTGGCTAAATGTTTACGCTTTGCTATTCGACATCACATCGAGTCCCGAGTCCTTGCTCCGATTCACTTGGCTTTCTCCGACCGCTGCTGTGTCTGGTTGAGTGCTTGGTGACCGGTTGATTGGGGGAAAGCCCGGAGACTTGTATATTGACTTCATACGTTTATGCTGTGATGCCTTTTTTTTTTTTTTTTTTGGATCTTTTGAGGTTTATTTATGGGGTTTCAATGGGGTTTGGAATGGGCTAGTTTGATCTTGACAATCTGCTGCTGGTTTTATCATATGGGCTTGGAGGATCGCCTGGTTTGGGTCTTTTTTAAACTGCAGTGAATTGTTGATTCCTCGCTTCTTGGGGCTAGTGAATACAGTCAATTCTACTGAGGATGAAATGTCCTGATTGCGTAAGTTGTAGTGGGTGTAGCATGCCATCGAAAGGATTCCAGACAGATCACATGGTGTAGTCTGCGACCGTTGTATCGTGCACGGACCAACACGTGCGCATGACGTTATCTGCCCTGCGCTCCCTCCGCATGGTTGTTGGACCTCGGTCTTTGGCAAGAGTAATCAGACTATGACGGCTCGGACTTGGCGTGGCTGTCATAAATCAGAGAGTCCATCTCCTGCTTCGTTGATGGTACTGCAGTGTCTAACGTTGGCAATCGCGACCTGCTTTACACAGTACATATCTAACAGACCATAGTGCTACCGCATGTGGTCGATGTTCCTGACGAGCTATCAATTGACTTGCCACCGATTCTGCTCATCTTACCATTGATTAATTGCCGCTGTGTTTTTAAGTCGCTAATAATGTCAGAGTATAAAGTCGCCTACGAGTCTGAACTGGTACGTTTGTTATTGTTGATCTACAAGACCCGGGATTCGGGTCTTTCAATAGCACGTGAGCTTTACTGACTCGGGTGGCACTGGGAATAGGACTCGTATCAACTATACTATAGATATGATAATCCACCACCGGAAAAGGACTGGAAGAGAGCTGCGTTACGTGGTCCCGCTTTGCCTGCCGTGGGGAATGCAGTCGCGGGGGCCGTGGGAGCGGCTATATCCAATGTTGTCACGTACCCGCTCAGTCTGATTGTGACTCGACTACAGACGCAGGCTCAACGACGGACGAAGAAAAAGAACAAGACGGAATCCGAAGACGGGGAAGAGGAGGAGGAAGAGGAGTACACCGATGTGCTCGACACAGCACGCAAGATCTACGCCAAAGAGGGTCTGGGGAGTTTCTACACGGGTCTTGCGCAGGACACAGCCAAGACAGTTGCTGACTCGTTTCTGTTTTTCCTTGCGTATGGCTTTTTCAGGCAGCGGAGGATCAGGGCTCGGTATGGCGATGGGCGGCGGGCGAAGCATGTCGTTCTTCCGATTCTCGATGAGTTGGCGATCGGGGTGCTGGCCGGCGCGTTTGCGAAGCTCTTTACCACGCCGCTCGCTAATATCGTGGCGAGGAAGCAGGCGACATCTGGCAAAAAGGCACTTTCGACGAAGGATATAGCTGCGCGGATCAAGTCTGAGAAAGGGCTGAGGGGGTTCTGGTCCGGGTATTCGGCGTCGCTCATTCTCACGCTGAATCCGTCGATCACTTTCTTCCTGAATGAGGTCTTGAAGTATGCGCTTTTGTCGCGGAATAAGCGGGGGAGACCGTCGCCGGCGACGACGTTCCTCTTAGCTGCCATCAGCAAGTCTGCTGCATCGTCGATCACGTACCCATTTTCCATGGCCAAGACAAGAGCGCAGGTCGATAGCTCGGGAAATAAGGAGAAACCGAGCAGCAAGAGTGTCTCCGAGGGCGGGGTTCCGTTTGCGCCTCAGATCATTTCCGATGTGCTGGCCATTGCGCACAACGAGGGTATTTCCGCGCTGTATGCAGGCCTTCCCGGTGAAGTTCTCAAGGGTTTCTTCTCGCACGGCTTCACCATGCTAGCAAAGGATGCAGTCTATTCGCTGATCGTGCAGAGCTACTATCTTCTTCTTATTGTCTTGAGGAGATATCCTACGCCCGAAGAACTGCTCCAACGCGCGCGCGAACAGGCCGAGGAATTCGCTGAAGCGGCCCGAGAGGGTGCGCGAGATCTGGCAGAGAAAGCTAAGGAAGGTGCCGAGGAGATGCTTGAGCATCACCCGGGTCATGTCTCTGTGGATACGGCTTCGAATGCTGGAGCCTCCGGTGTGGATGCCTCAACTGGATACCGCGTTGGCTCTGATGGGCCGTGGTCTGATACCAACCCGACCGCAGAGTTGGTGAGAGACTACGTGGAGGATGAGACGACAGAATGGAAGGGTATGTACCGTTGGTTCTGGGAGAAAACGAAAGCATGAACAAAACTGAGCTTGTTGGCTTGTTTGCCTATTTCTTACAATTGCGGTGTACGAGAACGGTGTCCGATATTTCATGGGTGATGAGCGTAGCATGTTCTGAATACATGGCATAAGTAATTTTAACTTAGCATACAAATTTATTGACTTTGAGAGCAAGACATAGTTTCAACAATGAATCCTTCGTACGAGTTCTAAGAATAGTGTACACTATCCAAGATCTCTCGTCCTTCAGTGGGGCCTTGACTCGCCGAGATCCACGGGACGCACCATCGCATCCAGCCCGACTGTTTACTTTCCCCTCATCAATCTATCGATCCGCTACCGATCTCTTCATATTTTACAGAGCTGATTTGGGGTGCTCTCCTTCCTCGTTTCTCATGTCAAACGAGTCTCGAGGGGGTCCTGGATTGCAGGACCTCGAGAAAGAACTGACTTGCTCGGTATGTACTCTGCATAATCATGCTTCTTGCGTCATTTGATCGGATCTTATCGACGGGTGGGATACCCACGAGGACCACAACGTCAACCCCCTTCCTTCGATCGTCGGCCTCGTGTTGGCGGTGGATAATCAGATAGTACTTGACAGATCAACATGGGCCATCTCTCTCAAAATTACTTGTGTGACTTCTCACTGACTGATCCCGGAACAATCACCATAGATCTGCACAGAACTGCTCTATCAACCTCTAACCCTCCTTAACTGTCTACACACCTTCTGCGGTTCCTGTTTGAAAGAATGGTTTGCTGCGCAGGCATCCCGTCGTCGGCCATCTTCATCCACCCCGCAATTCACCTGCCCAGCATGTCGAGCCGTAGTGCGCGATACACGACCCAATGCCACCGTTACTACGCTGTTGGACATGGTTCTGGCAGCCAATCCTGAGCGCGTCAAGTCGGCCGAGGAAAAGGATGAGATAGCTCAGAAATACAAGCATGGAGAGTCGGTGTTTCCTGTGCTTTTGTCTCCGGGGCAGGACGGTACCGTGGCGGACGACGAAGATCGACGATTGCTGGAGGAGGTTCGTGAACTGAGTTTGCGAGAGAACAGGACGGGGACAGGACAATCTTCAAGAAGCAGACAAGCCGAGAGCGTTGATGCGGATGGACGGAGAGCGGATGGGCGTTCCAGACGACGGCGTGAGGAGGAGCGTGTACTTCGCCGACAGCCTGCGGGCCGTACAGAGGACAACGCGGAGAGGACGAGGCGGATTGAGCATCAGTCCAGTCTGCGATCGCTGCTTAGCTTGTCTGATACCGAGACCATGCAAGAGGAGATCCTGCGACAGATCATCGAAGACGGACTGCTGAACGGTATCGACCTGGACAATCTTGGGCCGGCGCAGGAAGAGGAGTTGACTGAGCGCATCGCCGATGCTTATCGCCGAAGACATATGCGACGGCCGCGCTCACGGCAGAGACAAGGGGCGGATGAGGCGTCACAGACGTCGCCGCGACCGCGTGCGAGATCGCAATCCGTGCAGAGACCACCGACGGCGTCCGCTCCACAGGCTTCCTCGAGGAATCCACCAGTGTCAAGGCCATATCTGCTGGAGCCACTTGTCTCGCGCTCAGATGGTTCTAATCATCAGCGGCGTCTTTCGGATCAGGGGACTCGAAGGAGGAGGACATCGCCGGCTCCTGTCAATGCGGCGTCCACGTCGGAAGACACCTTGCGACCTGCTGCGAGGTCGTCCAGCGATATAGCTTCGGACCGCCCTCGTCCCTCTCAGTCCTCCCGAGCTCGCGCGGCCGAAATGTCGACTGCTCCGAGGCCGCGACGCGCAACAGCCTCGGAGCAGAACGTCCCGAATATATTCACCCCAGAAGCCAGGAACCGCGATCATCGGCAACATGTCTCGGGCAGACCACTGAATATTTCGCCTGCGTCGGTAGCTTCGCCGAGCATACCGAACAATTCTTTTTCTGCGCGCTTAGAACAGACCACAGCCGGATCACCTGTTTGTAGTTCTCTAGCACCGGCCGTAAGCAGTCCTGCCAACCAGCGCTCTCGACCCTCCTCTTCTCGATCCCAGGCCTCTCAACGTCCTTCGGCGACTTTCGCTGAACCATCCATCTCTTGCGACCGCTGTGGCAAGCAAAATATCCAATATGAGCTTCACAAAAAATGTCTACGATGCAAAGATGGAAACTTCCATTTATGCCTGCGGTGCTATCGTCTCGGCCGCGGCTGTTTGCAATGGGCGGGTTTTGGTCCGTCTGCAGAAGCGAATTTTGACAAAATGCTTGCCTCCTCGAGCGGTCGGCCTATGCCGTCGCGCGAGATAGCGCATGTCTTGCAATTCTCCAGATATTCACGGCCGTCTGAGAATGTCCATCGCACAAGTGGCGGAACGGAGATGACTAGCGACGATCCAGCCCAGAGGTTGCAAACGGGACTCTTCTGTGACATCTGCCACGCTGTGGCAAATAAATGCTACTGGAAATGCAACGAGTGCAACCAGGGGGACTGGGGCTTCTGTAATAAATGTGTTAACCAAGGACGATGCTGCACGCACGCGCTTCTACCTGTCTGTCGACTTGCGCCTGGAGATCGCTCGAGCGTACCAGTATCGACCGGTAGTGACTCGACTGATGGACCTAACAATCCGTCGACTCCTTCTACATCCGCCGATACCGGGAACGAGGTATACAGAATCCTCTCTTTCTCAACCAAGTGTGACATCTGTACATACGCCATTCCAGCGTCAGCCACGAGGTTCCACTGTCACGAATGCAATGAGGGCGACTACGACGTGTGCGCAAACTGCTACCTCAAACTCGTCGCCACAGGCAAAATCAGCAAAGAAAACGGTCACAATGGCTGGCGCCGTTGTGTCAGAGGCCACCGCATGGTTGTTGTCGGCTTCGAAGACCACAACGAGGGCCAAAGAAGGGTCGTCGTGCGCGATCTCGTCGGCGGCCGTGCCCTGAAAGACGAACACGCAGCCGCCGTCCCATCCCCTGAAGTCGGAACCGGCGACTGGAGCTGGAAGGAAGGGTCTGAGCGACGGAAGAAAGCCTCCCGCGTGCGAACTTCTTGGACAACCACCAACAATGACCGCAGCAACTCATTCCCAGTCAGTGGCACTGGTGGTAGCGGCTCGGGCTCGGCCTCGGGTCCCAACTCCGAAACAGCCACGCCTACCAATTCCCATTCACCACCGTTCCTGCGCCGCTTCCCACCCGACGGTGGCATCGGGCTCATCGTCCATGCGCTCTGGTCGTGGTATCCCGAGGAAGATGTTCAGGATGAACTGATGTTCCCGCGCGGGGCGGAGATTACCGAGGTTGAGAACATCAACGACGATTGGTTCTGGGGCTGCTATGCTGGTCAGACGGGGCTGTTTCCCGGATCGCATGTTACTGTCGTTGGGGAGATTGTATAGTTTCTAATGTTTTGTCATGGATATAGCGTGTATGATCTGCTTATTCAAGTATTGCATGGGAAACGACTTATGATTGATGTGTGATGTGTAATGTGAACATAATGCGACGAGAAACATGGAATTGATGCGAGCTTTGCATTTCATCGATCTCTCTCTCTCTCTTTTCTTAGAATCATTGAGCAACGATCCGGTTGCTCAATCATATCATATCTCGGTCATGGCGGGCCTGTAACCGCCAAAAGACATCCAAGCCATAAAACGTATCATCGTGGTATCACAGGAAAGAAGCAAGCCAGACATAGCATGGCAACAAAAGCAAGAAGCCACCCAGTAATAAGCATTAAATTAAAACAAAAGGGGAAAGAATTGAAGGAGTCACTCAAGCAACGCAACCAGTAACCTCTGATAATCCCCGCTAGTCTCTCCGCGGACTCTGGCGATGAGATCTTTCTTGTACCGATGGTGGTACGCGCGCTTGACTTGGTCCAGATGCTGTCTGTTCCAATGCACGCGCACAACCCGCACCACAAGCTTCTCGTCCTTGGTTCCCACACCCCTCATGCAGTCCTCGAGTAGGTCCGCGTCCCGCATGGCCGGGTCCAGCGCGGTGCGGAGCATATGCAGCAGCGCGTCTTTCATGTGACCGGAGAATTCCTTCTCGATGTGGCTCTCCAGCGAGGAATTGTACCGAGCGCTGAAAGCCTGGCTGATGGCGCGGAGCTCCGGGTCCGACGCGCGGGCGAAGATGCCGCAGACTTCGTCGACATTGTTGACGACGCGGCCGCTGGTTGCGGCGTGGATGGCGCGGGCTTCCTGCTCGATGAGCTGGGGGTTGATCGGGTAGGAGGGTTCGTGGCGGTCTGCGCGGAGGACGAGGGTGAAGAGGGAGCGGGTTTTGAAGGAGAGGTCGGCCTCGACGTCCTTCTGAAGGGAACGGTGGAAGGTGTGCTCGTAGGCGGCCTTGATGGCGTTGAGGTCGGCGTTTGAGCGGCCCAGGATGACGTCGTTTAGAAGCCATTCCTTTGTGCCGAGGCCTTGGACTGCTTCGCGGGCGGACTGTACGTCGTGCAGGAGCGGTCCGTCGATGATGGCGAGCAGGGCCTGGCGGAAGTAGCTGCTCGTTTCGGACTTGACATCCTTGGAGAGGTCGCGGTGGAGATGGTTGGTGTAGGTGGACCGGACGGCGGCCATTTGCAGGGGGTCAAGTTTGGACAGCACTTGAATGAGCGTCTTCTCGTCAGTACCGAACCCTTTCATCGCTTTGCGGAGGAGGTCCGCTTCACGACGGAAGTCGCCCGGTGCCATTTGACCAGGCACGTAACCCAGAGAAGGCATGGCGGGTGGGCCTTGGAACTGTTGCGGTGGTGGTGCGGGATAGCTGCTGCCTCCTACCGGCGGAGCGTCATAGGGTCCAGGTTGGTGATACCCGCCCGCAGGCGGAGGGTATCCAGGACCGCCTTGCGGAGGGTACGGAGGTTGCGAAGGAGCGCCATATGGAGGCTGAGGCGGCGGCGAATGGGGATATCCTGGTCCGGGAGCCGGAGGATATCCGCCTGGCGACGGGGCCGGCGGAGGTGGTCGATTATAGTGGCCCTGGGGAGGGGGCGGACCGCCGTAACCCGGTTGTTGGGGGTAGGGCGGTTGTGAAAAGCCTTGAGGAGCCCCGTATGGAGGATAGGGAGGTTCTGCAGACAGTCAGTCAGTCAGTCAGTCTATCCAGCTATAATAGGCAGCAGAATTCTGGGTAGGGATGCGGGAGCATACGATTTGGTGGGGGGTATTGGTTGTATGACATAGTCGGATTTCTTTCGGTTTGTGGAGTATATGTCGGGAATTCTAATGATTTGACAAAGAAAAGGAAGTAATCGAAAGTAAAGAGAATGAGGGACGATGGCCAACTTATATGATGAGATTAGTTCCTCTCTACGGAGTACATCTTCGTCATATGCCGGCTGTGCTCTTGGAATTTGCCTGAGAACCGTGGCACCAAGGCATGTAATGTGGCGCAAGCAAGGCTGAGGCGCTTAGTCAGGTGGGCCGCTCCACAAACCGGCCACATAGGGCTGAATCGGTAGGCCTTGAGGACGTAGATGTCCTTGGCGGTTCGATCACCTCTCTCGAGGGCCAATTGATATATAATCTCATGAACACAGTCAATCTGTTTGGTCGATGATCAACTCAACAATCCCTTGATACATGAGGAAGTCCACGAGGAGGAGATGTGAATGATGCGCCAGCAATCAATGGCGTTACCACTAGCCCTTGGCCGTCTAGCTACAGGCTACAGCCAGATGATAGCTCGTGTTTTGATAGCCTCAGGCATAAATCACCCTCTAAGGCTTCCAATATCTGAAGGTCTATAAGTGGCAAAGGGAAAATAGACTTGCATCCTGGGGGTGCTTCACCCTTTGGTCGCATCGGCCCCGCCTCTTGTAATATAAATATCCCCGAGGCTGCAATTGCTTACCAGGTGTCGAACTAAGCCTCAAGAGAACACGAGGATCTTATCTGGTTCAGCATGAACGCCATGGCTCAGACTAGAAAGTACTTCCTTCGTGTCACACACGATATTGCTGTAATCATATAGTTTCGCAATTCTCTGCTCCGTACCTATCTAGTCCGAATGTCCTTTCCAGCATTGTATCAGACCCGACGGCAGCCTGTACGCGTGCACGAAGCCCCATGGGTTGCCGTCAAACTGGTGAGTTTTGGCACCACACCCCTAGAGCGAAAACTAGACCTGCTCATGATTCATTGATCCAGGGAATCTTAGCGGCACTGCTGGGTCTCCAGATCGCATGCCTGGTTCTCCGAATGCGGTCGTCTTCCGCATGGACGCCGGCCACCATCCCCAGCGGCCTTCTGTCACCGGGTCTCGACCGCGAGTACAGCCATTCTCTCGTGCTGGTAGCATGGTCGCCCCGGCAGGCCTTCTCTCATGCTCGGCTTGTACTTCCCCGTGGTGATACTATGCGACGTGGCACGCGCTCGCACCCTGTGGCTGGTGTTTTCTGCTTCATCCCCCGGTGTCCCTTCGTTGTCCACGGCGGCCACATCACTGACCGTTCTCCTGCTCAACCTGGAGGAACGAAGAAAGAAAGGGTTCGAGTCCGACGCCAGTGCCACGACCCGAGAGATGCAGAGCGGCGTCTGGGACCGCACCTTCTTTATATGGTTGTTGCCTGTGTTTCAACGAGGATTTCGAGGGCTACTGACGATTGACGATCTTGCTGATGTCGATGCGGAGTTACAGGCTGAGGTGCTGTATCAGAAATTGTCCAAGTCATTGATGAAACGTCCCGTGCCATGCTCATGCAGCCATAAGTTACCGGTGCGGCTAACATAACCCCTACAGACGATATAACACGCCCTGATACCCTTTTGCAAGCGACCTTCGACGCCTTATCCTCCTCGTTGTTGGCCGGCATCCCGCCGCGGCTAGTCCTCCTGGCCTTCACATTTGCCCGACCATTCCTCGTCACCGCGACCTCTACATGCGACAAGCGTTTCGTTTCGTCCTGCGCGTCCGCGGGACTCTGGACGCTCTTATCTATCGCCACACTACCGGCCGCCGATACCAGCCGACAGAAAAGGAGCGCACCGCCATGACATTATTGGGGAGTGACGTCGAACGGATTGTGTCAGGGCTTCGGGACATCCACGAGATCTGGGCTTCGACCATCAGTATTGGCTTTCCCTTAGCTGCGCTCTGCCAGACTCAATTCACCAGACGCAGCGCTGTGGCTCAGCTGGTGGTCTTCCGCCAACGGCCGCAGTCCAAACCACCAAACGGGCATGTACTTTAGCGTCTACGCGGGTCTTTCGATTGGGTCGCTCCTGACGCTCATGCTGGCGTGCCGGTGGGTTACCAAGTTTAGAAGGCCCCAAGCAGATGGAGATGCACTGACAGCAGACCGAGAGCACTTATGATCTCCACGATACTGAACTCAGCGATGAGACTCCATTCGGATCTCCTGCACACGACGACGAAGTAAGGAGTCAACCTCCCAGGCTGGAGGGATCCCGCTAATCCAGAAGCATAGCGCTCCACTGCGCCTGTTCAGGACACCGACCCTGGAGAACTGACCAACCGATTCAGCCAAGATATGGAACTCATCGACATGATGCTTCCACTCGTGGCGATCAACACCGCCGACTCGGTCGGGTCCAGCCTGGTAAAGCTGGGTATCCTGTGCGCGGTCAGCAGCTACGCAGCGCTGACGGCCCCCTTCTTCATCCTGGCCCTGTGGGTCCTCCAGCGTTTCTATCTGCATACCTCTCGGCAGGTCCGACTGCGTGACATTGAAGCAAAGGCGCCCCTGTACTCTCGCATGCTGGAGACGATCGATGGGCTCGCAACCATCAGGGCCTTCCAGGGGACGACGGATTTCGAGACAAAGAATGATCGGCTGACGACGCGGTCCCAGATCCCCATTTACACGCTCTACTGCGTCCAGCAATGGCTGCAGGTTGTGCTGGACATGATGGTGACCGTTCTGGTGGTCATCCTCATCGCAGTCTTCGTCTCCTGGCCGGGATGTATACCCCCGGTTCCGTGGGAGTGGCCCTGAACATCGTCATCACTTTCTCGACCGGCCTCGCCTCCCTCATCAAGAACTGGACCTTGATGGAGACCTCCATCGGGGCAGTGGCGCGCGTGCAGGCTTTCGTCCGCGACACCGAATCTGAATGTCCCGCCCTCGCACCAGCAATCCCTGCGCCAGGGTGGCCGTCCGCAGGCGCCGTCGAGTTCTGCGACGTGCGGGCAAGTACAGGTAGGCTGCAGTCTAGACGGCGAACTCTCAATAGAAAACCAGCGGATAACATTTCCCAGGAACGATGGCCCCCCGGCTCTGAACGCCGTCTCTCTGAAGATCCCTCCAGGCACAAAAGTTCGCCATCTGCGGCTGCTCCGGCAGCGGCAAGCCCTCGCTCATTCTGTGTCTCCTGCGGCTCCTGGACGCCCAGCAAGGCACCATCACCGTCGACGGGTGCAGCCTTGCGCCTCTGGACCCGGCGAGTCTCCGCACCCGCTTCGGCACCGTCCCGCAAACAGCCTACTTCATGTCAGGATCCATCCGCCGCAATCTCGATCCGCACAACACCGCCTCCGACGCCGAGGTTATCCGCATCCTGCAAGCAATGTCGCTCTGGGAGTGGATCCACGCGCTGGGCGGCCTCGCCGCCGAACTCAGGGACACAGACTGGTCCACCGGTGAGCAGCAGTTACTCTGTCTAGGGCGGGCGCTGCTCCGCAGAAGCCGGATCCTCTTGCTGGACGAGGCGACGAGCAGGTTTGTTTCCCATCTCTTGTGGTAGTATAGTGCTTTGACTGCTGACGGGCCATTAGTATGGGACGCAGCCACAGCAACATCGATGCAGCATGTCCTGCAGGCGGAATGTCAGGGATGCACGGTGCTTGCCGTCATGCATCAGCTCCAGCACGTAGAACGGTATGATCTGGTGGCGCTGGTAGATGCAGGCAGAATCGTAGATTTGGCTCGCCAGCGGCGTTGCTTGCGCGAGACGCGGAATTCTCGAGATTATACCATGCTCAGGTACGCGCCTAACGGGCTCTTTGCAGATCACAGGTTGCGACTGGGACAAACAACTTACATAAAGCCAGCCATATATAGACAGTATCGATGTAGAATCAACATCGAATGTGTCATTAAGAACTAGGAGTGAGTCTCCATTGCGACCCTAAACAGTAGATGGGGATTATATCTGGATATATGCACCTAAAGTATCAATAATATGTCCTTCGTCTCATTGCTGCTCATATACTCCATATTCCTTGCATTTGTCCAAGATCAAAGCAGTCGTTCACCTGGTCTTCCGGCCCTCATCAGCCTTCTCTGCCGTCACAAAAGCTGCTCGCAGCTCTTTCGCAGCCTCCCAGAGGACCCAGAGCGGAATCCACACCCACAAGGTGTTAAAGAAGAAGAGGTAAAACCAGAGGTACACCGGATTACTGGTATCCAACTGGGAACTCCCAGTCAACCATTCCGGCGCAAACGTCATAAACCCCCCGTACAGCTCAGCCGTCGCCAGCGCGGGCGCAACTAGCCACAAGCTCGCCTTCGCTGCGCCCTTTGCTGACGCAGTCGACCGGCTGCTCGATGCTTTCCACAGCAGGTAGCACACATATACTGCAGCCGGGCCGCCAAGGAATACAGTCAACAGCTCAATAGAGATGGTGGGCGCATCAGCGACGGCCCAGCGCCGGTCTGCCTTTGCGTATTCCTGCCATAGGCGAGCGCTGGGTCCCGTTCCGTAGGTTGCGCCGTATACGCGATCCTTGTGACCTAGGAAGTATGGCTCTTTGCTGACTCCGGCGGGGAGCGTGGCGTAGCTGTAGAAGCACTCGTACAGGAACGAGCCTTCGATGAAGATGTGGGTCAGGGCATCGTAGGCGTGCCAGTAGAAGAGTATGCGGTTGCGCGTTTGAGAAGATGGTATCAGCGCTCTGCCGAGTAGGTAGGCGATAGGCATGAACGATAGGGTAAAGCCGATGCAGAGTAACGTGGGGACGTCGAGGGTGAAAGGAGCGGTGGAAGACATGGCTCTCGTCCACTGTAGGTTTCTTTGGGGTAGAGTAGGTCGTAGGACTAAATACGTGCAGCTTGTATATTAATAGATGGTTTTCAAGGTAGTAGAGCTCTTTTCTGAAGGATCACATTGAGAGTGACCAGTTTGTGATAGATGGATTGAAGAGCGAGGCTAGAGAGTACAATTCAACAAACCCCTGATTTTGGAACACTAGTCGCGATATGCAGTGGATGCCTTAGGCATAAGCAGTACGGAAGTAATCTCCACTTCCTTGTTGATCTTGAGCTATTTTCACTGTCATGAGTTTCGTCTGTGCTAAGTGATCGCATTCAATTGTTCCTTTCCGAATCGTCTGCCTCGACTGGGATCCAGTTCGGTCTTTAAAGGCTTTATAACCCGTCAAGCTTTCAAGGTTGGGCTCCGCCCCAGATAATAATGATGAAGCGCCTAAGCAATCCCCGCACCAGTTTCGCCATGTTGATATCAGATTTTCTTTGGAAATGTCGATGTACTGACTGACGTTGGTGACAAAAAGGACTTTGTAGATAATATACACGGACGATCGATACCTCCCTTATGTAAAAAAAGTATCGAGAAAAACAAAAAGTAGTCACGCCCGGGATCGAACCGGGAACCTTCTCGGTATCCTTGAAGAAGCTCACTTTTGATTGTGAACGAGAAATCATAACCATTAGACCACGTGACTAGTTCTTGTTGGTGAATCATTGAGATTATAATTCATAGGCAATTACTATAAACAAACCATAATTGCTTTCAATCAAGAAATTCCTTGTTTGATGTCTGAAGCAGCACATGTGATGAGATCGAACTACTAGTTCCATCCATCATCCGCCGACTGTACAACGCCCGCGGTCGCAAGTCCAAAATGGATCTAGGACACATCCAGCAAGCTGGCCCATCAACTACTCATATAGGTCCTGGGAAACGGTCACAGCTTCTCATGATGTCACCGAATCTGAAGCTGCGTCTGTCCTGAATATCATCTGCAGTCGGACAGTCGCCTGCCACTCAGATGTTGCTCAGTACGCCACAGATGATCGTCTGTCACCCAGATCCGGGCCCCTGCTGCCTACCCGTTCCGTGACTCAATTCGGAGCCCCTCTGCGCCTTGTGATTACGAATGAAGATTTGCCCTGACAGTATGAACAGTCATGAAGCTTGCCCAGGCTATAGTAGACTGGTTTGATGTTCCGCTATAAATTAGTCACCGGGCGACTGTCTGCTCACGCCTTCTGACGCGTGCGCCCTTCACGTGGTGGCCTCATGATCAGGTCCAGAGGGCGGAGCTCTTTAAATTCAGAGGTGCGAGCAGGCTAGGGCCTAAAGATGGAAACCTGGCCAGTTTGCTTCTGTGATATTATTGGGAGAATCTGGATGGCGATTTTTGTCTCTCGTTAAGGAGGAAGTAGAGATATTTGGTCCATTTCTTCACTTCATCTTCTGCATAGGGAGCATAGCGTTGATCGTTGTACGAGAAAGATAGACTTTGTTTACTCTGGTTTTTCAATATGCCACACCTGCGTCACCACCGAAGACGCCATTCCTGGCCCTTTGGCAGTCCAGCAGCGCAGCTGCGCGAAAGAAGAATCGCACGGGATTCCAGCGCACTAGATCCCTCGACGCTCGCGGAGCTCGAAGAACACTACCTGGCGCCCATCGTCTCTGAAGATCTACCGGAAGATGACGCTGCGTCTGCCGGTATTGTGCGGACTAGGACGACGCGGTCCCACCGATGGTTTGGATCGAAGCACACCGTCCGACATCATACGTCCTCGCAGACGAGTGCTACGGCGAGGGGCGGCACAGGCTCGCTACGACGGATGATCCGTCCGCCTCTGGATAAGGCTCGATCGTTGTTCGTTTTGCCTACAACTACTTCGGCTGAGAAACAGGTGGTGGTCTCGCTCTGGGTGTCTCGACCGACTGAGACACAGCCGGATGAAATGTACGCTGATCGGGGAAGAACCACAACAACGGCCGACGATGCTGATTACTTGGCGGTTGAGAGAAATCACCGGAGGTGTCATTCGGAGCAGCCGCGGTCGTGGAGGGCCCCGAGCGCGAGTTTGTGGACACTTTTGGAGGAGTGATTGCTGAGATTTCGGGTGCGACTGGCGTTTGGTGTAGTTGCTTCTTCAGTCTTCATGGTTCATCTGCGGTCTGGTCTCTACGGACATAATTGAATACCCTCACTCTCACTCCACAATATAGCTATTTATGGAACATGGCAGGCCGGGAATTGCTCTACACTGATATAGGGCAAATGTGCATAGTCTTAAATTATGTGAGCTATTGCATTGTTGATCTTAAGGGGGGTATATGTTCGCCCTGCTAGGATAGTATATGCAGGGTATTGTATGCGTAAGCATTCATTCTGCCATTCCTAGCTTCCAAGACCATCAATCATGCCAGACACGCCTTGCCATCGTCCCACAAGCCCATATTCAAAGGCACTACCAGCACCAATCTCGATCCAGAGGTCCGATGTGTGTGGTCAATCTCTGGCTGGGGATTGAATGAACCTTATTCACGAAATCTAACCCAGGTGATCTCGGGCCATAGTTCCAATTAGCACATTGGTATCTTTTTTTCCCTGGGGAAATGATCGGAACAAACGTGCCGAGGAGAAACCCTCTGTCTGTTTAACTTGGCAGGCAATCAGGTGATGTCATATGAGTGAGAATTACCTATGTAGCTAGAGAGCTAGAGCCTCAGGTGTGGAGATGTGCATTTCGTTGTTCGCACTTCTGTTCTTGGCAGCTGCTCACTCGGCAGTAGACACAGATTAGTGGCAGCAGTAATCATGTGTCCTAGCTTCAGGACCTGGTGCATGCCGCTAATCACTGTCCTTCAGTTGGTTGTTCGAGCCTCGAGGAGGTCTGCATAGTCAATCAAGTCAGACTCTGAAACGTGTCAGACAGCCGGGCTACTCCCTTCAGTCGAGAAATGTTTCTACCTAGAAGTCACCGAGCCATCCTGAGCTAATCCTACACTAACGCATAGGCCGCATGAAATAATGGGTAGGCTCCTCCTCCCATTCGGCCAGTTGCAATGCGAGGTTTATCCTCTCGTGGGGGCCAGATGATTTGATTGGACCATTTGAGTTTCCCGATATCCTTCTCGAAGCACGCTAGAACGGCCCTACCACCTTGGGCAGGTCTCAGCTGCTTCGGCCCTAACAGAGGGTTTGTGTGACATGAGGGGAAGTGGAAGAGAAACGATGACTGAGGGATGTTCATTCTAGAAGAGGATTTGAGCGGAAGTCAATCATTGACAGCGAAGGTGAAGTGATACGTGTCGTATCCAAGGTTTTGGCACTCTTTATCTTCATCCATTCACGAAGGTCGAAAAAATTATCAAGTGACACTGTTGTTGATGATTCAGTCCACCAGGCAGAAGCGGTGAATTTGGTCTTTCCGGGGAATCAATCTGCAGGTGTCGAAACGGCGATTGGCTCTTCGTCAACCTTGTAGGGCAGAGTGAGTGGGGCCAGCCGAGAGTCTCACCGACTCTGGAAAGTCAGAATCGTTGGCAGCTCTTGATTCGTCAATGGGAGCAGGGGCCCCGTGCCCCAGGAAATGTCAGTCCCGTCCTCATGGCTCGATGATTGGACGACGGGGAGGGAGGAGATAGGGAATGAAGTTGAGTGTCCGGAGTACACCGTAAGAGGATGTCGATGCTGGAGCTGAAAGACATAAATATGACTATCTGTCCGCCCGCTCTGGTTAGTCTTTGTTCAACTCTTGATCCTCTTCTTCCAAGTCCAGAGTCCCAATCCGGGTAAAGACGTTACATACCTTTGAAAATCTTTCTGAATATGAAAGATCAGCACCGTGCTGGTCCCGCAGAAATCGAGCAGAACAATATCCATCGTCCGCTTTCTCACACAACCACTGTCTCCTCATCCAACTCCTCTCAAAGCGACAACGCCACTGAAGCTCTCCGCCAATCCTCCCACAGACTCTCCTTCCCGTCTGGCGCAAGACTATTTCGCCCTCGTTCAAAGTCGCCCGCAGCAATTGGCACAGAGTTGCCGATAAATCGTGCTCGTCGCTCCACGTCCGACAGCTACGGAGAAGCCATTCCTAGAAGCGTCCCTACCTCTTGTGACAACATCCCTCGACAGTCAACAAGCCCCACCGCAATGTCTCCCATCGAGCCCACCAGTCCAACTTCTGCTGGTCTGCAGAAGCGCGACTCAGCATCATACAGCTCCCAGTCCAGAAAGAGCGGCGAAGATTATCGCCGCTACAGCGGGACTGTGAACCACTACGGCCGTCATTCTAACGATTGGTTGTTCGGCGGGTTCAGTCTGCGGGACACCGTCCGTGAGGGCGTCGATCGCTTGCGTCATGGAAAAGAGAGCTGAACGTCGCGTTTTCGTATCATTTTTGTCTCTCCTTTGGTCATCGGCTTGAAAATCCAACATGACTAGCCCCCGAGCAGTGTCACTGTCAAACAGCATCATAGTCACGACGCTCACCGACGGACAACTTGAACATACCGGGAGTGAATGGTATCCTCTTCGATAGGTCATCACTTTCTCGGATACAGAGCATCGAGGTCGACCACCGCAAGAAGCTGCATCAATTCGAGACTCTACTCCGGCCAATGCAGCATGAAAGATTGGACATTCCAAAGAGAAAACGGCATGCATTGGCTGTATTCATCTCGGCGTTCCGTCATTCAGTCGACGCGCATCTGTGACTGGTCTCGATTGTCTTTATGATTGTGCATACTACTGTATTTCCATTCAATTAGCAATCCTGATCAATTCGTATCATTGTTAAATTGAATGTTAAAGCCCAGTGCATGGACCACATACCTTGCTCAGTAAGCCCGACCATCATCTCTCACCACGGTAATAGCCGAAGAAAAAAGGTCATCAACAACATCAGACACCACCCCAGCTGGAACCCATCTTTGAGATCCTGAAGCAGATTTCGGAATAATGTTCCATGAAACAGTAGTCAGGGTCACCGCATCCACTTAGGGCTTTGACCTAACCTGCAACCTTGGCGCCTTTCGTCCCAGTCTACTCGGTAGTTTTCAGTCATCCGCAGATTGAGTAGGTAGCAAGTCAACAAGCTGTTTTACAAACGTACCAAAATCCCCCAAAACAGAAGGAGAGCACATTGGAAGGCAAAATGGGTCAGGTAGTTCACCTTCTTCTGCCTTGCGTGAATTATCAGCAAGTGCTCCTCCATGAGCAGGTTCAACTCTCAGCTCTCAGGTTCCCACCAGATCGACCACTAGGCGTGCCCGATCGTCTAGAGATCGCAGGTGACGCTCTTCAAGCCGATAATTCGATAATTTGTCACGAACTGGACCCGCATTTTTTATCTGTTTATCGAATTCGAATTTGAATCCACCATCATGATTGCTGGGTTCTTGTGCCGTAGTCTATTCTACTGCAAGCACACGTGGGATGGGTCCCGTCAATAGTCGGCGCCTCCCCAAGCCCGAGCCCACACTCCACAGCCCGCTGGCCCGCAGCGTAGGGATTTGAAGCTGAAGCATTCATTCACCGAGAGAATTTACGGTATTCATTACGAGGGTACGGGGGGTCAGTTTGATGAATTTAGTGGCTAATACCGTGTGCTATGGCCATCTATGGAATAATAACTATCATTAAACAGTAGAATAAATATTGGTGTCGCTGGTCCGGCAGGACTTCTCAGGGGCGAGATAACAGAAAAAGGGGGAATCATGGGATACCAGTCGACCCAAAATGGAAAATTTGCAAAAACAAAATAATCAAAACGCAGAACGCCGGAGCCGAATAATCATAAATTCCAATCCTCCAGCTGTACTCCTTGTCCCAAACAATAATGTGACCCCCCCCCCGTCAGCTTCGTGACTTGGAAGCGTCCGGCCGTGTAATCATGATAATCCTTGGATCTATGAAGGGATTTGAGTGAGACTCAAGAGATGCTCATGCCGCTCTCTGCCACGCTGCAATGTCAGCAGGTGTTATATCGATATTTTCCGCTGTCATGGCCTGGAGCTTAGAAATCTGCAAAGGCGCTGGAAACGGGTCAGCCGGTAGTCAAGATGAATATGCAGCGTTGTGCAAGGCCTGCGAGATGCGAATCCAAGGACAATACGTACTTGGGCGTTGCACGGCATCTGCTCCTGCGTGGACATGAATGACCCCCGAGTCGACATACTCCTTTGTGGTGACTCCGCTTTGTGAGGCAGCACCGAGGATCACTCGAATTCGGTACCGGCCTGGCTGCGCAATGCTCAGCGGGCTGAACTTGGCAAATCCGCTCGTTGTGTTTCCGTTTCGACTGCGCACGCTGGACGTTAGCGTCCCCGAGAGTCCGGTGGCCGCAGCCGCTCCCGTTTCGCTCCTGAGCGATGCGTGCGCAACCATGTGCTGGACTGCTGGGTTCACTAGGTTGCCCACGGGCCTGACTACCACAATTACTGGCAGGGTAAATGGCGTCCCAGGACGAACAGCAGCTGGGGGCTCAATCTCGAATGTGATACCGAACTCCCGACTGGAGCCTCCCCGGGAACTTCCTCCTTTGCTCTGCACCATTTTTGCAAGCCTCCCTTGTTTTGAGATCGGTGTGGTCTTTGTTATCGTACCGGACAGAGCAGTTCGATCGAGTCAGCTCGGGTCCAACTTCAACGATGCAAGTAACCTATATCTTTAGCCTGAAATGGAATATCGACGATAGAAGGAAATCAACATAGCAGAAGCAAGAGGATTGACTAGACAATTGATAGAGACAATGGATCTTGAATCAACAAGCAAATGGTAGGATAATAATGGGCTCCCGAGGGTGGTTCATATATGTTGAGTGTCGGCCTCATATAGATTGAACCCTATGATAACATATTTCCAAATTGGAGGACAGTGCTGAATGCTGCCTTAGCCGGTTTGCCACCGCAGACAAGGGAAAAAAAGCTAATCTCAATAGCTCCCTTGAAATGCAAGATTAGCGAGAATGTGGATCTGCGTGGAATTACAGTTATGTGCTGACGCTGGGATAAGGGCCCGCAAGCTTGTCCCAGTGTTTATTGGATTTTGGGTTCGGATGAATACCGAACCCATAAACATGAAACGAAAAAATTCATCCTTCCTGCAATACTGGAACCCACGTCTGGGACTTTCCTCTCCTGTTCCTCTAATCACCTTCTCATTTGTTGTTACTTTCTCGAAGAGGTGGTATTGTGCCTCTCTCCATATTTGTTTTTCTTGGCCTTGTGCTGGCACCCTCTCCTCAAGCGAACGCCACTCTAACGCCCCATTGAATAAACACGGATATAGTTTCCACAGCGCTAAAGCAACTGCGAATTCCCGGAAATCGAGCAGAGAGATGGATGGTAAGGTCGAGACGCCAGATCCGCTTCGGCGAGCATGCCGATCGAATTGTGAAGCACAATTTGCAAATCCTTGCGCATCATGCGAGATCTATAACGCATTCCACGGGGATCTCAGACGCTCGCCTTATACATCCGTATTCGCAAACAGTAGACCAATTGTATCAGTGGAGCTTTGGGGGAGAAGTGGCTCATGCTTCACCCTTTGGATTGAAGATGGATGGTCCATGAAGTTCCCTTGCTTTCTTGTGTGGCACAGAGAGATACTCAATGCTGGAAAGGGATGAATGAAGATGCAAAAGCTGCATCTATCACTCATTTCCGAAAGGATCATGCTTGTTCACTGTATAGTGTACGAGTCAAGATGCTGCGGCAATCGCAGTGTTTCTACGAAACCAAGACATTGGACATGCCGTCAGACAATGCCGGCGCGACGAAGAAACGTTCGATAGATAGACTTTCTTCGCTCTCCAATGGAGTTCAGAAGCTGGAGGAACAGACAGCCGGGCTAGAACAAAGCACGTCCTGGTTTCCGCAGCGGTACGCAAAGCTTTCCGTTCTTGTATTGGAGAATGGTCGGAAGCGATAGTGAACCAAGGTAGTTGTTTACTGAATCAGAAGATTGCGCCAATTGAATTCAATCCCCGTAGCCTGGACGGGGAAGCAATCTCCGTAATCAGAGATGGATCACAGTGATGCGGGTAACAGGGACAATTTTGGACAGTCTTGGGCTAGCGACTTCGCCACACCTCCTTCCGGTTTAGTCCTGGTCACAAGCCACAGTTCCCCACCTCAGCCTCACCCAGACTTCTTCAGCGGGTTTGTCTCTGCCTTTGTTTTTGTTGCACATCTTGTCTTCCATGGTTCATCATCCCCTTGCTGATTCGCGCTATTGGATGTAGTTGTCTCGTCCAAGCTCCCACATACTGGACTGCTGCGTGTCCATTGTCGATCATTCCATACTTGCTCCTTGTGAAAATAAACTGCCATGTACTGAACTCCTTTCTCCACGATTCCATCCCAGGATCCCCTGAGCTTCCACGAGGTCACCAGTTGTTCCGACCAATCATTGACTACTGATCATCACATAAACAATATGATCTAGAGTGGCCCTTATTTGCTTGATGAACTGCTATTGTAGCGGACCCTGCAGCCCCAACGAACTAGTGGAGTAAAATCCAGGGTTCAGGCTTCTCCTGCTGCGCGGTGTACAAGCACACAATATTAAGGTATTGCTCGTGAACGGTTGAGGAGTCAATTCTCTATGACAGGAAACATGACAACGGAAGGCTCCTTGATCGACAGCCGACATAGAATGAAAAGTCTTGTTAGGTCTGCAATGTACCTCTGACAATTTGTGGGGCATCCTCGTATTTGCTTTTCTCATGCACGGTGCAATGTTCGATGCCGTGGAGCACTCCTTGACGACTTGAGACGAGATCTACCACCCCTTCCGCTTAGGACCAATAGTTCTTTGCGGATCGCCGATTCAACATGATAACACACAAGCCACCTGTGGCTGAAGTGGATCACGAACGGTCAAGTTGTGGCGGTGAACGCGAGGAACCCAGGATCCCTACAAGGTTTTTCCCAGGAGGAAACATTGGTTCGTCCTCGCCTGGAGCTCTGGGCCTCAATCTACTGCTTTGTCCAGATCTGTGGGCTAATAGCGTGGTTGCTAGGCCCGCATACTGCCTCGCTGATGTCGTGTGATTACGCTTTGACAGTCATACTGGGCATCCAACAGGATACTCTCGCAAACGTCATCTGTCTCGTGGATACAGTTTCCTAAACTTTACCTTTCCGTGCCTTTGCGTCTCTTTCCTCGCCCGCATTGCCGAGTTCGCAAAATTAGTTGGTCTGGGGCCATCCGCCCATGAGTTTTTGGATCTGGTGACTCTCTTATTTAGCGTATGGAGGATCTCTTTTGGGTAATGCAATGATATCTGGTACGTGCTATCGCAATGCTCCAGCGAATTTGGAGAATGTCACTTGAAAATATCCTACCAAAAGCACAACTCGGTCACGGAGCCTGAGACCGCATGGTACCGGTTCTGCTGAATGAGGTTACACATCGACAAGTGATCTTCTTGTTCTAGCAAATATATCAATCTAAGGAAGTTGGCAAGTCTCGAACATCGCAAGATTGTCCCCTGGACTGCAGGCATAACACAACCCCAACTGGAACGCGCATGTCTTTGCGTGATCGAGTGAATCACAATGTTGCTTCACCAGACCTGATCTGGGCCCAGAAAGACAGTCTTAAACTGCTCCTTTGATGTCTGTCACAGAAGGAGTGTTTATCAGCCAAAAAGTACCACTACTGAGGTGTGTACGTTGCACGGGAGGCAGCACTACTCCCGGCTGCAGTGATGCATTGCCCCAGCGAATTGGATGGTCCGGTAGTGCAAGAGATCGTCGCTTGAGCGGTTGAACCGTGCGGTACAAGTCAGACTTGCATTTGTGTCATGACTCGTAAGACCAACCTCGAATCAACAAAGTACCTTATTCCATCTGATCCTGTAAGAGGGACTCCAGCATTGGGCAGGGCTGCTCATGCCCCCCGTCCCGAATAGGGACAAGGTTTCCAGACCACTAAAATGGGGCGACTTATTTTCAGAAAACCGCGCTTAACTAGTGAAGCTGTGTTTCGTTCCAAGAAACTGTCTCAACCTTAATTTGTATTAACTCATTTTAGGTTCTGTCTCGCTGATCCTGCGCGGTTTAAACCCCAAAATGTGGGCTCTAAAAGGGCGTCCCGGCCGAAGCTCGGGACTATGGCATAGCTCATATCGGAGATTAGAAGCTGGTGATGGACATTATTCGACCCAATTGCGCAAAATATTGGGCATCATTCGTACTTTCTACGGACAGCTGACTGAGCGAAAGTTTTGCTTTACTTCTTGCAGAAAGAGAGGGGGTCACATTAGTCAAATATCTGGTATTACTGACAATCTTTTAATAGTGTCGATCATCAGATGTCAATAGCTCAGTGCCCTCAGGCTCTCTCCGTTAATCCGACGCAGGGGGGATCAGCAGCCAATAAGTGTGACATGGTACACAAAAGCAAGGAACCTATGTCCTTGGCACCAGCCCTATGTTATCCCGAATGAGAGTATTGCCATACCCTACTGGAACACAAACCGCACAAAGCAGAAGGGCAACGTTTGAGCTCCCACATGTGCAAATGCTCACCTGACAGCCTTCAGTTCCACCATCAAGGAAGGCTTCTGCCAAATGATATACGATGTCTGATCATCCCAGTCGCAGCAGTCTTCATGGAGGGCCATGTCAAAGTTCCAGAGCAGCTTTGCAACGATGAGGCGCATTTCAGCATAAGCGAGACTGTATCGAGGGAACAAAAGCCCTTTGTCAGTAATGAGTCGAGGTAGAAGAGGGTGCAGCAACATACTTCTTGCCTAGGCAATTCCGAGGACCAAAGGAGAAGGGCTGCGAAGCCTCTCGGTTATCCGATTCAAACCTAGGATCCCTGTTTTCCAGCCAGCGCTCAGGAATAAAAGATTCGGGCTCGACGAAATGGGATTTCGCCCGAGACGCCGAGAATGGTACTACAGATACAGAGACCTATGAACCTGTTAGCGGAAGGGACGTGTCAAATGATCTTCAAGACTTCGCGTACACCTCCCGGGATATATTGTCCGTCAATGGAAGCGCCGCCCATAGGGACCTTTCTTGGAAGATATCCAGGCACAGGAGGATATAATCGTAAGCTTTCTTCGAGAACAGCATGCAAGTACGGGAGTCTTGCCACTGAAAGGAAGGTGATATCGTCTTGCTTCTGAAAAGCCCCCCTAATTTCCTGGACGAGCTTATTGTACTTTTCAGGGTATTTCAGAAGATAAAAAGTGCAGCCGGACAGCAAAGTAGCGGTTGTCTCACTCCCAGCAAGAATTAAAACACCTGCATTCGCTTCTATCTCCTGCCGCGTCATGCCTCGTTCGTCATTGTGTCTGAGAATGCAGGAGATGAAGTCCGGCCTGCTAGTCTGCAGATCAAGCCGACGACCGACTTTGTCCTTACTCATGTGCCAGTGCTCATTTCTCATTCTCGCAGCCTTTTTTGGGAGTAACTTTTTCACCAGTGATTCTAGCAACGGATAAAGGTGAATGAGCCTCAGGTAGACGCTCATTTTCACACTTTGGAAGACCATCTTCACCCAGGGGTGGTAGCGATTGTCCCGGAGGCAATCGAACGGCTCCCCGAAGGCCAAATCTCCAATAATATCAAAGGTCGTGTAATTGTACCACTTCATCATATCGACCGTGCTTCGCGAAGCAGCACATTCAGCACGCAGTTTCTCGACGAGGAGATCGACATAATGCTGTACAAGCGACTCTTGTTCTCTCAACGATTTCTCGGAGAACGCATGCGACAATAGGCGCCGCTGTCTGGCGTGATCGGCATCACCAGCTGAAAGTATATGCCCGCCGTTCGGGCTGGGGATATAGTACTTGGGATCCTTGATGAACGAACTGGCACCATGTTTCCGGTGGCCGTAGATGTCTTTCCAAGCATTGGCGCTTCGGTACACCAGGGTGGAGGGTGAAATGCGCACAACATCGCCATACTGGTCATGCAATTCCTTAAGCTTGGCATGTATTTCCCCTGAGACTGTCCACCAGATGTAGCATATATTCGAGCATGCCGCGAGCTTGGGACCAGGGAATTTCCGAAGTGGGTGAAGATAGATATTGTAGATCGCCTGTCCAAGCAGGACTACTACCACCTATTATACTCATGGTCAGCTCAGCGGGACGGTTTCAGTCACTGTTGTGATAAGTGCACTCACTAAAGATATCACGATAGATACGGGAGTCATCTTTCCTTATTTTATGTCCTGTCTTTCAGAAGTTTGCATCGTCCGGCCAGGACGGACACAGGCTTAAATAACTGGCCGCAAACGAATGCGCCGAGGTAGCATCTCCGGGGCCCCTGGCCTAGCAGTAGTGCTTCGGTTTATTCGCTCGTTTGCTTCGAACCCTTGTGTGAGACATTGATAGAGCTAGACTAGATGCTTGACGGCTTGATGGACTGATTACGATGTCCGATGGGATGCCAAAGTGGGGTAGCATAATGGCATAACTGTCCAGTTGTCACAGCAGATCCTCTCCACTTATGCACGGTATCATGACTTGTGAGGGTTAGGTGGATTCTTAAGCACGGCTATAGCGGTCGGCTACAAGCAGTGGAGGCGAAATGGCGCATATTTTTATGCTTAGGGCAAAAGACGTGGTGTTATCGCCGGACAAATCCGACGGAGATCAACCGATAGACATCCATACACTAGACTAAGATTTAGCGATGTTGTGAAAATACAAGGATAGGCATTGTTGCATCAATATCGAATAGATACTTTCTATATGAATCAGGTTAACCCAAACCAGCTATCTATAGAGTTCAACCCCGCCTTATCCCAATATATATTAATATTGAATGGTGATCTCAAGGCATATCAGAGGTAACTAGTACTTCACGCGCAAGTAGATCCTTGCCTTGGCTAGAAGACTCTAAGCGATGACCTACTTCCCATTCAATACAATCGCTTCGAGTCTTTTGACGCATGGCGATCGACGAGGCCGCATCTGGAGGACTTACCGAAATCACCCAGCACAGCTAGCTTGCCACGATGATCCGTCCAACAGGTTTCCGTCTTGGACTTCTGATTGATGGCTTGAGGAAGGTGAGGATCAGAGCGCACCGACGGGAAGGTTTATATGAAAATCAGCACTGAGAGTGACCAGAACGCCTTAGGTCTCCGTACAAGTATCAGTACATATGCTGTATGTATACCCGCCATGTCAGTCAGCTTATCTCTGAATGCGCCTCCCTGCAAGGGACGGCAACGGATGCGATACCATACATGGCACCGAAGAGGTCATGATGATGATGATGGAAGCACTGGTGATTCCCGCCGATGCTAGACCAGCGATGGCACGACCGATGATCAGGGCATCATTTCAGCAGCAAAAATCGATCTGTTTCCTAAGCGCAATTGCATTGGCATGAACCTGGAGTATGCAGGAACAAAACTCAATCTGGCTGGACTGATGGTCTGGTTCACTCTGGAATCGCGGACGATGCATTTAATATCACCAAGCAGTGAGTGTATATCATGTCGGAGAAACCACCCTAATGTTTCACCTGAGCCGGGACGCAGGAGAGTAGATCTGTTGCAGTCCTCGCAGTAGAAAGGGAGACGGAAAGACACCTTCCTTCCCTTTCGGGCTCCAACAGCTATCTGCGCCCTCGCTCACGTGTCGTGACGTTGACTTCAACCACTGAGCTATCTCATGCAATATGGATGACTTCGCATCTAAGAACAGTATTGTTATCACGATGAACATCTGGCCGACGCTCGGTTATCTCTCAGATGGCGCCTGTCCTTCACACACGATACTATCAATCCTTTTCTGTTTCCCACTCTTTCCAAAGCGCTCACGCACGACCAATACGGGTCACAAGGTACATTAGTTTGAGGGTCCTCATCCAATTGTTTGTGGGAACGATCTGCATTTTCGTGCTCGCGGTTTTGTTCTGGAAAATTGGGCAATTCTTTCGATTCCTCACGCGGGACCGAGTCGTCAGGCAAGGAAAGACGGTTAACACTCGCTACGCGAGGACCTGGTATGGCTGGGTACCATTGCAACGACACGAGTTCCACAAGAGGCTTTTCCAAACATGTTTCCAAAGATTGCATGACTGGACGGCGTGGAGATCATCCAAGGCCGACTTTCGCTGGGTCTGGTGGGATCCTGGCCAAAAGGAGCTCGAAAAGTACAAGAAAAGGCGAAAATTCCTCAGATGGGTGCCAAAATGCTTCAGAAGCTACGAATTCACGACAGCGGATGCCATCTGGAACCCTGGTCCTCCAATTGGGCGTTATTCGGCGCCTGGTGGAAATACAGCAGAGCGTCTCTGCGCAGGAAGGCACACTCTTTCAACTCAGAACCTGTGCAGGGCTGTGCTCAAGTCAGCAGAGAGACAAGGTTGTCATAATATGTCATCGAGTCAGATGTCAGTGTCCGATCATTCACAATTATCGCTGATTGCATCAAGACAACTGGATAGAAGACTTCAGGGAAATTCCACGACTGACACAATCCAACTCCGAGATCTCCGCATACTCTATAACCATGGTGAAATACCCTTGCCATTGAATCATTCAATATACGTACGCAAAGGCAACCGTATGGTTCTGCTTTTCCCAAAGCGCAATATAGCGATGCGACAAAATCTTTCCATGCCATGTCTTTTGAATACAGAACCCAGTCGTTCAAGGCTCGTCGATCGCTCAGAAGGATTTTATACTGGTCAGAATTTCGGGCATGGGGAAGTCGGGTCTCGCTCGATTCAGAAGAGACCTCGTGCTCTTGCGTACCAGATATGGTCGGCTCGCATGGAACTTCAAACGTCAAAATGCATTCTTTACAACCAGAGCCCGCTTCTCGGTCCTCCAGGGAGCCCCGAATCTGGACTCCTTGGCAGTTTCTCGTCCGAACACGCTGCATTGCTGGACTTGCTCCCAAGGACCTTTGGAAGAAGTATCGTCAATCCCTCCTCCTCCGCAACCAGTCACGCCGTATCCATGAAACGACACGTTGATCATGACAGAGGCGACATGTTGGATAAAAGCGCACAAGATTCTGAAGCTGAACACCGACGTTTTAAGCGACAACTTCGCATCGATAATAGTCCACGTCGAAGTGCAGAAGTCAGAGATTCGGGGCTCGAGGCTACGTCTCCTGGCGCCGTTCAGAGCTCTCAGCGCTCAGATCGTGTAGAGAGTCCACGGAGCTTGGACGAAACTAACAAGAGCAAGAAGCTGCGGAAGAAACATCAACCAAAAGCTAGGCACCTGGCACATGGAAAGGTACCTTTACGAAGTCTAAGCACCTGGGAGGCGAGGCTAGCGCACGACCTGAATCGAAAATTGGAATGGCTCTTCGAACAGCTTAGTCCTGGGCGTAGGCCTTTTCACTTTGCCTTGCTTGCCAATCACTGGCTAAATAGAGAGACTTGGGTTGTGCTCGATCCTATTTCACGGGTCCCCATTCAAGCAAGACGTCTTTGGGGAGATCCACGATTCAATTCCCCGTATCCAATACCTTGCTGGGGGCCGAGACCCAAATATCCCGAGAGCCCTTGCAAAACAGCCAACAGACCTCATTTGAATTCCTGGAGGGTTGCTGTCAATCGCAATCGACGGGCATCAGGACTTCGAGACGTCGTCAAGGGCGTCGCGTTACTGGAAGACTCCGCAGATGAACCACCGGATGGGAAAGTCGATCCCGCAAGCTGGATTCTTCGAAAGCCCCCGCAAGGTTTTGCAATGTCAACCATGCAACAAGACGCATACTACGAAGGAGGAGCAGGTTGGCAAGAAACTCTCGGTGACTGGCAAAGGGTGCGCCGTGGTTATCGAGTCCGTAAAGCGATCTATGAAGGAAGGGCCAATCGAACTAGGATGAAGGAGACAGCGGTTGGGCTTACCCGGTACTTCCAGGCCATAGCAAATGAAGCTTTGAACACTCCCAAAACGGACACCGCGTAAGAGGTACCAGCCGCTGGACATTTCTCCAAGGCTTGCATCTAATACGGCGAAATTCGGAGCGGTTGACGAAGCGGTCTGTCGTCCATAGGTCAGATAGATATCATATTGACTCTGCTGGGAGAATTTCCACTCTGTTCCCAGAGCGTTCTAGGACCCAGTTTATCATCTATTGTTATACACGTATGATCAAGGTATTATCTTATCAAGAAACGAGATCTCCGTATGTGAAATATGCTCTCAAATTTGTATGAATGCATTGTAAGCCGAATTGAAAATCCATCGCAGTCATTGTGTAAATTCCCAATAGCCGAGAACTCCGATTTGCTTCCCTGTATCCTTTCTAGCCCAACCTCATCTTCATCAGAGGATCTAGGCGACAAGGGCGGTGGTGTATTATACAAACATTTCCAACGGATCGTATGGATGGTTCTGAACAGTATCGCGAGTCGAAGAAGAGAACTTAGAAACCAGGAGGGTTCAAGCGCTGGCTGACTCTCGTCCACTTGGGCAGTTCTAAAAGAGAGTTATCAGCATCCTTGTATATTCCCCTCACAGAGAGGCCAGTAGTGACAATGCTGAGATAAACGTACTGTGAATACCCTTCCGATAGGTCTTTTCCTTCTTATCGAACAGCGTATACTTGTCCTTGGGCAACATCTCTTCCTCCCGAGGCATTTCCGCATACCACCGATCGACGGCTTTTGTGCTCTGGCCGTTTCGTCGCAAGGCGGCGCTGAGGGTGTCGACCACGCGGTCAACAGCGCGTAGACGCTTCCGTTGCCGTGCTTTCTGGGGTTGTGAAATACGCCATGGGATCTTCCTGTTCGTTCGCTCCCATTAGTCGTGTGCTTGATGGTAGTGGAAAAACGACAGAGGGGAAGAGCCACTGCAGAGACTGCATCGGAGGCTTGGGGCATACCAGAGAAGACCAGAGAAGAGCGGCGACGAGGCCTTGAACATCTTGACGGTATTCTGACAAGTTGTTCGCTGAAAATGCTGCAAGAATGGCACTGTCGCTGTCGGTGATGGGCAGACTCGGGGCGAAAATACTTGTACTCTGGAGGTTCGGAGGTGCAGGGTGGTCCGTGCTCGCCTCCGACCTCCGCGGCCGCAAAGCCAAAGCCAATGATGGCGTCTCTTGCTTTCACGCCGCTCGTCTCTGTCTGGGGGAGTTATGTAGATCTTCTTCCCCTCGTTGCTCTTCCAATCTTTCTTTGGCCCTTGTTGGCATTCTCTTGTCTTTTTGTTCTCGCTGCATCTGTTGTCTATCTACTTGTCCATGGATCCCTCTCGGTAGAGCTGTATACCATGTCCCGTTCTACGGATCGCAGCGCGACGGGCGATTGCCCGTCTCTTCCTTGGAGGGCGCTTTCGGCTACGACGATTTTCGGAGTCGCTGCGCTGTGCCGTTCGTTCTTGTTTATGTGTAGTCGTCCGGAAATCAATGGCTTGGATTCCTTTCTGGAATTACTCGAGTCCCGACAGGATAGGTCGCGAAGGACGAGGGGTTTGCTGACAGGTATCGATCCTCTTTACTCTACAAATATCCTCTGCCTCTGTCTGATCGCTGCGCGGACATCGATTGCTGACATGGGATTGATTCGACAGTCTCGAACCATATAAGCGTGTACGTACGTACGATGCGCCTCGAAGCTTGAGGCGGCACCCATCTGCGACTTCAACGAAGCTTACCGTTGTCTCTGACTCGAGCAGTATGGATGATCCGATCATGTGGGGAGCGATTCCATTACGGTGGAATTTTGGACTTTCCTCGTCCAACAAGAGATGGGGCTTTGGCAGTCATGATATTTGTTATCAAAGCCGGTATGAAACAACACCCAGTCTGGTCCTGGTGTTGCGGCTAACCAGCTGGACCTGAGTAGACCTCTAGCTCTCTTCTTCACGATGGGCCAAGTGCTACCCACACATCGACTAGCACACTCGCCCTACGGCGGTTTGGCGCAGCCAGCCGTAACCCAGGCTATCCGGTTATTGTCGAAGGGGCCGTTCCCTCCAGATCCACACCTCCCGCCTCCCGAAAGACAGCACTGGAGCTTAGAGAACATCTGCGTCGACCCATTTTCGGATCTTCCCACGGCTTACACCACTACTGGAATGGATTCACATCTGGCACCGTCCGCCTACGCCTGCAACTCATACTCCTGGGTCCACATCTTTCCCGAGGGGAAAATACACCAGGCCCCGAACAAAACGATGCGTTATTTCAAGTGGGGTGTCGCCCGACTGATATTGGAAGCAAACGAGTGTCCTGACATTGTCCCAATCTGGCTAGAGGGATTTGACCAGGTCATGCACGAAAGCCGTGGCTTTCCTCGGTTCCTTCCTCGAGTAGGAAAGGAGATTAGCATCACATTTGGAAAGAAGGTAGATTCCGAGGCTGTCTTTGGCGACATGAGAAGAAGATGGCGAGAGATCAAGGCAAAGGCTGAGTCAGCGTCACCGGAGTCTCGCAATCTTCCCCTCGGGGTACTTAGCGACGAACTGCTGCACGACGAAGAGGCGGTGGAGCTGCGAAAGGAGGTTACCAAGAAGGTCCGGGATCTTGTCTTGGAGGTAAGACGGACCAGAGGCCTCTCCGACGAAGACCCCAAACACGGTCTCGCGGAGACATGGATTGAAGAAGGTCCGCAACGAGAAGGCAAAATGAAAGATGAGTCATGGGTAAGGGACATATGAGTCAGGCTGCCCTACTCTTTGTTCCTCAAGTACATATGTAAGATTACGAATGGTGCGTGTACATAAATTTGAGGATGTAGAACGTCGTCTAGTTGCTCCGTAGTCGAGTCCAGCCCTGTTCCCTTCTCCGGGTGAGGGGGCGAAATCATCCGTGGGTAAAAACAGAACCCCCCAAGCTGCTCCAACGCCGCTCCGTCAACACCCCACCTGCCTCCCGTTCCTTTCTGTCATCATATTCTCTATGCCCAAAAAGCACCACAAACACTCCTTCGCGAAGCCTGTCAGTCCCGCTCATCATACGTTAATCTCCTCCGGCCCTCGTAACCAAAATGAACGGTTCCATGCTTCGCAGGCCTCGTCCTCGAGCGCATCGACACCATCGGTCAACGACCTGATCAACCACCTCCGTCGCACTCAGGTTTCCCGCTCGCCTGAAGACGGCGCTGGCAGCCCAACCCGGTTTGTCGCTCCTCGATCGGTCCACCCGTCACTACGGAACTTGCTAGAGCTTCCTGAAACCCCACCACCTCGTCCCCGCCCAGAAGCACGCCGCGTCGGAGTTACTGGACGACGGCTCAGGAGGACTCCCGGACCGCCGCCCCCCCAGAGCTGGCTCTTGGGGAGTCATGATAACGATACATCGGATGAAGATTTGAATGCGACAAATGCTGCGCGAGTGGAGAGGATCATATACCGGTTGGATCGGCTACCGGGGACCACGTTCCCGCGCAAGTCGGACCTGTTGCATATGGTTCTGAAGACCATGGCGTCGCAATGGGCGTGGCATATCGAGTACGATGGGCAATTTCTGGCTGTGCTGCCCAGTCATGTCAAGATTTTGCTGCTGAGCTATATTGCTGGTTATGCGAGAGATCAACCTCTAAAAGGGCTGATGCATGGGTTGAAGCCTCTGTTTGAGAGATTCGGTACTGATGGCTATGAGAGTGGGGATGCTGGGGATATAGCCCAAGATGGGGACTCAGAGGTTTCGCGTCTGGATTTGAGCAGTGCATTAGGGCGCTGGATGACTGTAAAACAGCTCTCGCGTGAACTTTTGCTTTCGAACGAGTCAGGAGCAAGTCCTGCACAAGGCAAGACTAAAAGGCCTGTTCCGTCATCGTGGGAGGAGATCGATGACGAAGAAGAATTGGTGGATGAAAATCCTAATCTGCCCATTCCCAAGGCATTAAGCCAGGGCCTTCGCTTCCAGAATCTGCGCTTCCTCTCCCTAGCGCACCCCAAACCCGCAGCTGCGAACTGGAACTCCCTTGTCGACCTCCTATCGCGTCTATCAACAATTACCCATCTCTCTTTGGCGCACTGGCCTTTACCGACAGTTACTCCGAACGCTATGAACACCCGTATCAGGCATCCCACCCAACGATCCCTCACCTTCGCCTACGGCGGTACAGACTCTTACTCTGGAATGGAGGACAACTGGGCCGAAGCAGCTGCCATTCTGCGCAGGGTCTCACGCGTAACATATTGTCTGAAGTGGTTGGATCTCGAAGGTTGCGGGGACTGGATCCCCGCGTTGACGTGGGAAGGCGTTAGCCCGGACGGCGAAGCCCTACCCTCTGGTCCCGAATGGAACGGATCATGGAGGGATATCGAGTATATCCGCCTAGGACCTGGGTGGCTCCCTCATGTCGAGGACAGTGACTTCGCCGTACCCCAAAGCGATGCAAGTGAGCGACTACCATCGTCTCCTTTGCGATCGCTCGCTTCGTCCATCCATGCACCATCTCCCGCTCCGTCCGATACTCCGGATCTTCCGTGGGATGTCGAGGTCGAACGCATCAAGTACAGGCGAGCGAAGGAATTGGAGTATTACCGGGAGACTCTGCGTTCTGCGAAAGCGGTGCAGAGAAGTGTTTTGCAGCTTCGGCGGAGCGGACGAGGAAAGTGGGTGCATTTTTCTTTTGGCTTGGAGGGATTGGATGCCGGCATCCTTAAAAAATTACTCGGGGCGGATTATCGAAGTTTCGTCCCATGATGCTACACCTAGAACGGTGATATCGATTACAGTATATATAGGAGCGTTCCATAAGACATTAATTGATACTCTAGACTGACGACTCTGATCGGAGCCGGGCGGCGCCTTGTATACAACTAGGTCACTAGAGAATCGCAATTGGTATCTATAGATTTAGGATCGCCTGTATGTACATGATTATGCAGCCATTTCAAACTTTTGTATTCCCTCCCAGATCTATCATGAAAGACACATCCAACACATCCATCAACAACCTTATCACTTACGGCCCCGGTTGAAGGTCTTGAGTGGGTCCACCTTTCTCACGCCGGATGGTTTCCGCCCCTTACCCTTGCCCCGATTCTTCTCTCTCGCTTTGCGAATCCGATTCTCTCCCGATTTCCTGAAACCAACAAACCCAACGTCCTCGCTGGAGATGCCCTTCCTTCCCTTGCTCGGCATCAAATAATCCGGGATGTGTTTCAGATGTGGTTGGATCCGCGCGGCGCGAAGCTCGCCGTCATGGCGCAGTTGCTTGAGCTCCTCGGGGTTCTCTTCGAAGTGCCGCTTGAGCTTCTCGCTCTTGACCAGCTCCTGGCGGATTTCGCGCGCGCGGGCTTCCTGGATCGCCAAGCGTGTGACTGCGCGAAGGGCGTCCGTCATACGGTACCGGAAAGCATCGACCTGCTTCATCTCGAAGTGGTAGGGTTTCACCTCGTGGCCGAGTTTCGCTTGTTTCTTAACGATCTTCGCCAATACGGACTCGTCGTGCTTGGCGGTTGGGAAACTGGTGGGCTTGTGTTTGCCGAATTCGTCCGCTGGGACGACGAATGACAGGGCCATGCCGGCTTTGCCGGCTCTTCCTGTACGGCCGATGCGGTGGGTGTAGGACTTGGAAGTAGTGGGGAGGTCGAAGTTTAGAACACATGCGACGTTCTGGAAATCAATGCCACGGGATATTCCGTAATCCTTGGCTTTTCCTGATGTCTTGCGACGTTTCTCTGGGCGGGCAGCTTTACCGGTCTGCTCTGGTTCGTTGTCCTCGTCTTCACTAGAGCCCATCTTGTCCTTGGACTCTTCGTCTCCGTCAGTGGGCTCCTTGGACTTCTTGGAAGATGCCCGCGATCCCATCACTTCTTGCTCATCCGCTGCGATAATAATATCGTAAACACCCTTGTTGAACTCCTGCACAACGTGAATCCGAGAATTGATGGGCAGCTCCGAATTGAGGACACAGCTTTTGATCCCAAATTGCTCAAGGAAGAGCTTGAGGCGATAACAGCGGTCAATGTCGCCAACAAAGATAATGACTTTGCCTTTGATCAACTGTAGTTTGAAAATGACGTAGGTCAGGAGGAACTTTTCATCTTCCGCGCATCTGCCGCAATCATTAGCCAGAGACCAAGCATTCTCAGTTAGGACAATCGATCATACCTGACAACAAACTGACTGATACCGGCACCCTCATCCTCCTTGTCTTCCAACTTCAGAATCACCGGACTCCGACAGAACAAGCCCTTCAAAGTATCGACTTCAGACGTGAGGGTTGCACTCATGAGGAACGTCTGCACACCGCGGGGGATCGCCTTCGCCAATGCATTGATATCCTCTTCATAGCCATAGGAAAGAACCAGATCCGCTTCATCGATTACCAGGTGCGTCAAATTCTCCAGTGACAGAGCCGAAGTACCCAGGTTGGCAATCACACGAGCGGGAGTGGATACAATCAGGTCTGGGTAATCGGCGAGCATGGTGCGCTGCACAGCGTCGGAAACCTTCTGTGTAAGATTCACGGAGCGAACATCTTTGCCGCAGAATGCAGAAAATTTGGTGATAACACTCTGAACTTGTTCCGCAAGCTCTCGGGTGGGAACGAGGATGAGGCCAGTGGTAGCCTTTAACGAGGGATCGGCCTAGACAATTAGGCGTCTTAGAATATTCGTCTTCTTGAATATGAGACTATGATAACGTACAGCTTTCTTCTGAAGGATCGTCTGTAAAATCGGGAGGACATAGGCCGCAGTCTTTCCAGAGCCTGTCTTCGCACGGGCTGATTTCATTAGCGGCGTCAAACCATAGCACATACTAAATCCTTTATGCTTACCAAGAATATCCTTGCCCTCAAGAGCGAGCGGGATGGCCTTGGATTGAACGGGAGTGGGCTTCGTGAATTGTTCTTTGATCAAAGCTTGGCGCAGTCGGGGATCGAGATTGAGGCTTTCGAAATCGGTGTTGTCCGCATCTTTTGTCTCCTTTTCCTCTGCGACCTCTGTTGAGGGGACATCATTGGCATCAAGCTTGCGTTTCATTTTGGCGACACAGAGCTCCAAAAGCCGTTGGAAAAGCCCTTTGAAGTTGACTTGATTGTAGGATATTGCAGACTGGAAAGTTTTCCTTCGTTCGGGCGGTTTCAGAAATTCTGTCGGGCGGTGAGATTCCCGCGGCAGTATTTTCTCCACTATCTACTCCTTTGATAGTGCCAAGCTTCATCCACTGATGTTGACACTCTTTTCAATATAGTACGGAGTATTACTTCTTCCTCTAGCAGTTTTAACATACTTTTCTCAATCGTTCAGGAAAGATAATTAAGTCTGACTATATCATATCCTCATCTTTCCGTTCGGCAAGGCAAGGTATTTTTCAAACACTGATGTGATAGCAACATGGATGAATCATGAAAAGGGCCCGAAAAACAATCGCACATACAAAATCTGCACTGGTGTGCTTCAAGTCGTATTCATAGACCATAAATGGCGTTGAGAACAAACAATTTTCGCCTAGGGCAATCACTGTCGTATTACGATATGTTGCAAATACGTATTCGGTGACACAGTCATCCTTCCAGCCCTAAAAGAACTTGAATAAGCGCGGGCAAAAGAGCGAAGAATCAAGGAAAAGAAACGGCAATAGAAACTGAAAGTTGGACACTGGGACAGTGTCCACCTTGAGCACCAAAAACAATCAATCCTCACCGTATGGGAATTTTGCACTTGGAACGTCTTGAAGCTGCATTAAATATCGAGTCTGAATTCATTACTTGCATAGCCTCTGAATTTGACCATTGAGGTCTCGGATATCATCCCGACATCGCGCACTTTGACATTATGTTCGACGGTGTAGACCTTACCGAAATTCAGGCGAGACATCTCATCGAGTCTCTCGTCAGGTCTCGCTGGTTTGATCTCCAAGGGTTCCTTGGTCATTCGTGGCTCATCAGCTTTGCAGGCCGGCACGGACCCCCGCATATAAACAATGGCATGTTTGGCGGGGTCGACGCCGGGTTTGGCTACTCCTTTGCCACCATAAGTGGTGATTGGTCTGAACTGTATAATCAGCGTTGGTTGGTAGAATAGCTCCTCAATGGGCTTGACTTACACACACCAGGCGCATTGCCTCATCGCTTTGACAACCACCATGCGCCGGATACCGCTGAAGATCTCCTCTCCATATCTGCCTCGGGTGAATTGGTTTTGGGTGGTTCTGCCTTGGCTTTGGAAGTCCGAGATCACGGTTCCTTGTGAGATTACGGTTCCTTGTTGTCCTCTGCCTTCATGCCAGAGGATTGCGAAGACCTGTACAATTTGTCAGAAAGTTGCAGATAGTACGAAAAGGCTTTGCAGAAAAGAGGATGATCTGGGGGCTCCTCATATAGTTCTTACCCTTCCCACGACAAAGAACTTGCTAGGGGGTCTCTGCACTTGATAACCTAGAGATTATTAGATGGCTGAAGTGGGCCATGGGCAATATATATCACATACGCGAATCGAGAGGGGATCCATACACTCCGCCTGATTCACCGCGGATGCTGTAAGCCTTTCGGTTTTGCAGAGTCTATATTATCATCAGACGCGTGTCGTATCTGGACTGCGAATGTTCACTCACCCCAAGCGGAGGACTGCTCTGTTCGGATGTGACATGTGTTTCCGTATGATCTGAACCTAATACAGGCACTGGACTGTACATCATGCGACCACTGGCACTTTGATGCACTCCAGGAATGCGCGCGAGTGTCAAGTCTGGTGGCGTGTATCCAGACGCTGGAAAATGATTATGATGCCTGCGAGGACTTGCTGGTTGATAATCATGACTCTCAAAAATATCGCTGTGTAGCTCGCTGGATCCCTGTGTTAGGAAGCGTGTTCCCATGTGTGCAAAATCAGTAGTCAGAGTGTCCATAGCCCTAGAATTGTGGTCCCCAGCAGATGCACGATAATTACGCTGGGTGTTGTATGCACCTTCAATGGCCACGTCTCCATCGTAGACACCAGAAGGATAATTGACGGGTGGGGTCGATCTATGGACTGAATGGCGCAGAGAGCTCTGTTGTATATTCTGAACACTATTCAAGTTTCCTGCCGTCAGTACCTTTCATATCATGGACCATACCTCCCAGCTAAGTTATATGCTTTCAACATACGCTGGAAAATTGTTCGGCTGTCCACCATGTCGAGACGGTAAGCCATATGAAGGGGATGCGAGAGTCACATCACTTGCAGGACGACCACTTTCATCTCGGTAGGGAAGGGCTGACGACGAGCGTGGAACGTCACTTAAGCAAGTCACATCAGCATTGACCGAGCAGCCATGGAACTTTTTTTCTACCGTCTTGAATTCGACCCCTCGTGTCTCGCTGATCGATCGCTTTGCCCTCCGTTGTCACGATGAGTAGCTAAATGCATAAATGAGCTTTCTGCGACGAATCCGAGATAATGTTTGTGCAGGCCTCCTACCACTAGGATGCTGATGTCGGGGCCATCTTTCAGAATTGGCCATACTTCGTTTTCCGACAGTTGCAGACAAGTCACAATTGAATAAGTCACTGCTTGGATTTATCGAAATACGTTGATCGAGAAGATCTGGAGGTGCGAGAGTCGAAGCTCTCAAACAGTTGGACTACTGGACTGCATGGCTGCTTAAAGGCAACCTGACGGTAGTGGCAACCCATACCGACATAGCTGGGCTGAAGGAGCCAAATTGAGGCTCTTCTGCTGTCACTCACTTCCCTCCATATTGATAGAAGGATCAGACTGACCGAACAGCTTCGATGCACGATCAGCGCCAGGTATGTGTGCCTACTTTGTTGTCCGAATTCTACTCGTAGATGAGATGTCGCACATGACAATCGACCCAGGAAAGTCGTATCTGGCTTTACGAGGTCCGGGATAAGCACCCTCTTTTTCTTGATTGGCCTCGCAGGGGGGGGGTTGGCGTATGGACGCTTTGCTACCCATCCATACTGATTAGCTTAGTTCATGGTTCTCTCCACGAAATGGGAGAGGGGTCTGACAGGAACTACTACTGCACCTCGAACGGAGACTACACGGCTTGGTCCGTCTGACCAGTAGGAGACACTCAGTAGCGCATCACCAGCTCCATAGGATTAGTAGCACCAATGAGACGGCACGGGAAGGCCGAACGCTCCCGTGTGCTTTGAAAGCCACGACTCATGAAACACACTCGCAAGGCTGTCATCAATATATTTTGTCCTTTCAAGCATCTGAATCTTTAATTGTGGGAAGTCATGGGGAGAACTGCGAGTTAACAGGAAATTATGCCTGTCGCCATTCCGGCCTGGTGATTGGGAGGTCGCACAGAGTGATGCTGGCATCCGCCTATGAGACTCATCGACGTGACGCATCCAGGCAAGGAAATAGGAAATAGATGGGCAATATCCCTTTCATCCGGCTTATTAGAAAATGACCCAAAGACCAAGGAACAAAACCATGAAAGGATAAGACTATTGGGGAAAAGCAAACAATAACAAGGCGGACCAGGTCAGTATTATATTGGTGCTGGCCAAATTTCGGGAGAAATGTGAAGCCCCAAGGCACAAGGTAAACAGAAAAGCATTCCGGCCTAACCCCCCCTTTCTGTGGCAGAACAACACAGTAGTCCAACGATCGGGACACACGTGGGCTAGAAGAGAAATTTTGATACACAGTTAATCTCCTTTCTTCACTCTTTTGCCCGGTCTCCTGGACACAGAAGATGTAAGCATAAAGGAAGCCTTCCACTACCTGATCTGTTGTAGTTGCAAGATGGGGTCTTGGCCGGGTCGGATGAAGGATCCATATCCAACCTACAAAGGGGTGAGTCGCTTATATTCAGTTGTTACCCTTGTCTTTCAGAGCTCTCCCAAGTGACTTAAAAAATTCGCATGATGCGCAGAGGAGGAAAGGGGACATTCGGCCCTCTAGCACTGTGGAGCTGGATCTTCATGCCGATCCACTGGGTCCAGGTCCAGGCACCACGTCGTTCTTAAGCTTTCCCCACAGGAGGTTATCTCAACCTGGTACCTTGGGAGGTCACGATGATCATGCAGAGCGCAACAGTATTGTGAGCAGACTCTTGCACGGACCGGCCGGTTCTCATAGCGATTCCTTTAGGGACACGGATGCTGATGTTTTGCCCTCTCCAACGAACCCAACAGAGCATTCAGACAATCTACAGGAGGACCGGGGACAGGGTTGGAAGTCGCAAGCTTCCCACCAGCCTAGCGAAACTCGTGACCATGTTCCGTCACTTGGACCCAGTTCCGCAAGTGGGCGGCTGATCGAACAATTAGAGGCTGTCTCCGCTAGAAGGCTTCGGGCGCGAGAAATGCGCGTTGCTCTACGCTACAAGCGAGAAGATGAAGGAAAGCATAGAGCCGCGTTGATGAAGAGACTCAACTCGCTTCTCGCACAAGATCACCAGCTCGCTAACCTGATTGAAGGGCTTGAGTCGGCCACGGAATCATACTTGGACCTGGAGCAAACGTATCATCGGACGGAAGACGAGCTGGATCAAGAGGAGTATGTGCTCATCCAATCTATGCAGCGGTTCGCGAAATCATTGCGTGAGTCGCCACCAGGACTATCGAAGGTAACCCTTCAGGCTGAAAGCAGCGCCTCCGATGATGGCGCACTCTCGTTCCATGATGAACCTCAGGAATACCCACCTGCCGTGTTTGATTACCTCTCGCGAGTGGGAGACGCGCGGATACTACAAGAGCGCTTGGCGGAGCTTGATTCACAGTGGTACACCATTGTTGACAAACAAAGGCTACGAAGCTCGCTCAATATCTCTTTGGATGAGGAGTCTCTCCAATTCCTGCGGTCATACGACGGGTCAAGGACGCAAATTCGGAAGGAACTCCACGAGACAATGCTGGACATTGTCCGTCTCCGGGCTATCTGCGACGAACGAGGGCTCCGGACCGAAGAATACACCGGAGACATGGATTTTCTATATGGAATGGGCCTTGAAGAAGTGGCATCCCAACCCGAAGATCCTCTGAAGACTTCAGCGATTGACGACTCTTCCCCCTTCTACGAGCCAGGGTCTGCTAAAGTCAGCAGTGCCATGTTTATAAATAAGTGGCTCCTGCATCAACTCCGACACTCATCGGTAGAAATCTCACGTCTCAAAGCCGCCCCAGAACTCCAGCAGTTGTCGGACGAAGGGTGGGATGATGCAAATATCAGTCGCTTGGCCCTGACGGTGTGGTTCTCAGACGATACAGTTCGGAACTCCCCGCGGACTTTGTCCCAAACCGATGATTATGATTACACGGGCGCTACCGAGAGAAGCAAGGCCACTAGACCTCGGCTACAGAAAGGCAAGTCTGAGCCTGGCATTACTCCAAAAAAGGGAGTCTCCTGCGCCTCACCTCTGCGCACTTTATCGCTCTAATACTTCCTCTCACTGCTCCAATTACTTCGTTGCCCGTCCCTTTCCTCTGACTCTGCGGGAGTCTCTTATCTTACGTTTCGCATTTGTTTCGGCTTCCTTTGCATATGGCATGTATAGACCTGGATTGGGCCCGGCGCATCAATAGCATCCGTTGAATATTTCTCATCTGTCGCCATTCAACACCTTCCCCTCTTCAAAGATTGTCTTCACCGGCGTCTTATCTATTTCGGTTTCCTCATTCCAGCGAATCAGAACACACACACCTATTGGCAGACACATCGAAATGGACTCAGCAAGCAACACTACAATACCTAATTTCAATAAGGCTGATATTAGCCAAACACATCTATATTCCCGAATGATAGATTCTGCGACGTGTGAAACGTCTACCGTATCGTCCCACTTCCGCAACTGACCCTGTCCCCTTTCCCACCCGATCGAGCTCTCAGCTCGTAGTAATGCTTGGGTGTGCTTGTAAGGATGGGTTGTGGCTTGCGGCGCCTCGTATCGTTGGTTGCCTTTGAGCTAGGTATCTCGTGGATAGTCCTGCATCAGCTACGCACCCTAGTATTGGACAGATGGAGTGTCCTTCCCGAGATTACGTTCAGCTGAGGTCATCCTAAGAAGTGGTTAACTAATGGTTGGTGTGGAGTAATATAAGCAGGATATTCCGCTTATTGATGTTGTTACAGGAGTGTTGAGCTGATTTCAGGAAATCAACCCAAAGTCAAAGTCAAAAGATGATATGTTTCATGACACGATCAGACTCCGCGGCCCATACATATCCCTGCCAAAGTAAAACTTCCATTCCATGGTCGTATTGTTTCATCCCGATCCATCCCATCCCATTCGTCATATCTGTTGCAATCATTGAACATAAAGCACAAGGTGAAACTTCACGTAAGCGTCGTATTATTTACAGTCTGTTCCAGGACATGAGAAAAAAAAGAAAGAAAAAGGCAAGAAAAGAGGCGCGCATTTCCATAAGTCGTTGTTAAATTTATGTCTCTTATGAGTACCGTGTTTCGTCGCCGTCGCTGTCGCTCAGGCTGTCTCGTCGTCTGCTCCGACCGCCTTCGCGGCGGTATCCCTTGCTGAGTCCTGGGATGGGGTGATGGTAGTGCTTGGTCCCCGAGCCGTCATCAGTTTCCACATTGGAGTATTGATACTCGGATCTGGAGCCCGCTGACGAGAAATCCAGAGGCTCGGTGTAATGACCTGGCACGGACTGACGGTCTCGTTTGCGCGGGCTGCCCTGGCGCGATGAGGTGGTCGGGGGAGCACGACGTCTCTCTCGGCGACGATTGTGTCGTCTCGTTGATGGCTCGCGGAGTTGTTGGCGCTCCTCCGTCTGACTCAGGACCTCCTCGCTTCCGGGGGTGAAGGAGAAATTGCGGCTCTGACGCGCGGGTTCGTAGGCGTAGTCGCGTACCTCACTCATCTCGCTCGCGTTGTAGGAGGTGGGTGGGTTGGAGGTGTCGTAGTCACTGCCGTGGTAGGTTCCGTCCCCTTCGCAATTGATGCCGCCGATCCGGGCCGGTTTCTCCTTGCGGTAGGCACGCACGTCTTCGTCGGCTTCGCCCTCCCAGCTCTCGTCCTTGCGTCTGCGCAGGAGTTTCTGTTTAGCCGTCTCCCGGAATCTGCGCTTGCGCTTGTGGTCTCCCTCCTCCTTTTCGGTGATCGTCGTTGCGGTGTCTGTGTATCCGTCGGCAACCGTGTACCCATCGTCGCTATACCCTTTGCCAACGATACTGCCCCCACCCAGTCTCGTACTCTTCGTGGCATTACTGAGGGTCCGTCCGTCGGGGCCTTTGCGTCGCAGAACGGTAGATTTATATTCATCCCAGTCGCCTTTTCTCCAGATGAATCCACCATTCTTTGCCCAGAAGAAGAACCAGATGGCGCCAAGAACAAATGCTGCTCCAATCAACCCAAACAATGCTAATAGCCCCTGCATGTTGATGTTCTTGGGGTCGACTGTTCCTTGACCGGGGACATATGTCTTCGCCTCGTCTGCTCTGCGGCTCAGGGTTTTGACAACCTCTGCTGGAGATGAAAGAACGGAGCCGTCGGTAGTATCAAGGTCATGACTGGCGACCTGGTTCTCTCTGCCGACAATATACTCAAGAGAAATACCGGGGAAGTCCCCCACTAGTTGGACAGGAGGCATAGTGGGCAGAAACCAGAGCTGTCAAGAGCGCGCAGCTCAAGACGGAACTCTGAAGAGATCAGTTTTAGCGCACTTGATTGACGGTCCTCGTGGAATGAGGGGCTTTACCCTCGGAGGTTGATCCCCGGATTCTGTATCTCCAGAGAATGTTGCTGTCAGCTCCACTTGGTATGTGCTATGGTTCCGATGAGGAATGGATGTTAGCAAATATGTCGACGGTTGGCAGTTCACAAATTGGTTTTACGCAAGATAAAGAGAAGAAAATGCAGAATATACTGAGAGACGCAGACCTGAGTCAAGCAACGTAGAACTCTTGAAATTGCGGTGGTTGGATATAATGAGGGAGGCTGGGAATGACGCTTTTGTTTGGGCGATCGGCGTTGTACAGGCAACTTGCTGAGTCATCATGTTATCGAAAACCAAATCGGCGATATCGATAAGCGACAAAACTGAGATGGATGATGCGCCGACAAACAAAGTCGAATTAAGAAGATGAAAGAGAGGTGTACGGAGTATTTTACATATGTTTTTTATTATTTAGAGACTTTAAATATGCTACACTCCTTAAGGTACCCCTCAAGGGCCCATAACCACTCACATCTGAGCGTAAAGATACAGGTGCCGACGGCCTGGTGCTCAGTTCTATATCTAAAAATGATTCCTTTCACTGATATTGTATGGGATGGACTTGATGACGAGATAGCGATGGCAGAATACAGCAAGTAAAGCATAGAACAAGTCCTTACAGAGTTCAACAGTCCAACTCTGCATTTCTCGTGAATGCATCCAGGATCTTAGATCTCTGGGCTAACACGGAAGTTTAATGCAGTTCATGAGACCAAAGGGCAGCCTTGCACTAGACTTAAAGTAAATAGATGGGCTTCAACATGAGACCAGCATTAACCTAGTTTGCTGAAAAAGCAATGGGAAGTGGAAATTACATCCAGTGATTCTTAACTTTGGTCGATCAAAGGATCTAATAGTGCAGTCAACTGTCAGCTGAAGAAGTACGGAGTAGACTGGATCATACCACCCGTAGCTGGAAAGGGTAGTGATCCAGATGGCATCAGTGAAAAAGACCTTGTTAGGCTCTTGGGTAAGCTGTACATGGCTTAGCTACCAAGCACCGCGGAAATACGTACCTGATGGGTAGGTCATTCAGGAGTCGATACGCAGGATGATTGACCTATGTAAGAGCCAACATACTTCTCGTAGTGACCTGGTATCTAGATATGACTCAGAGATTCAAATCTATGTTCGGCGGATATGGTTATGGACGAAATGTGAGAGACATAGAATAGCATGTGTGCCCAAGTGGATATCGACGGAGTCTGCAGTCGACAGAAATATGACCTTGAGGTTTCAAGGATTCTAAATTTACCTGGCTACATAGATAGAAATTGACGATTCCAGAGCAAAGCTTTGTTGTGAATATGTGCATCAGCAAGATGACCATTATAGATGCATAACCCTAACATCGTCGATATAGACCAGGATGCCCAATGCATGGGTTTCAACTGACAGATGTTTTCTAGCGTGCTTCTAGAGGGAGTTCGATGCCGGTGTAATAATAATATTATACTCGCTCACCCCACCATCTGGAGGTCCCTGGACCAGTTAGTTTCAGTCTAATAGTCTGACTCTATCCAGGATGAAACAAAAAATCATTAGATGTGTATTACATCTTAAGAACTAGACAAAGATGGCAAGTGGGGTAATTGTTTATTTCTATCCACAAGCAACAATATTTTCTCTACTTCAGATCTTTGGGATGAAAGATCTTGAGGCTGAGCACTCGGAACGGAACCGTAAGTTGATACAAGGAATGTGCTGCCTGTTGGTGATGTCAAAAAATCAATGTAGAAGAGGGGCATTCCTTATCAAGAAATCAAGACTGAAAACTGCCCCTCATTGAGATAAAATTTTTTTTTAAAGATGGAGACATGAGCAAGGAAGATGCGGCAGTGGAGGCCAATGCCAGAACGATTGGGCCGCAATGGAATTTGGGCAGCGATTGGGACAGGAGAATCTCGGAGTAGAAATTGCTGATATCCTGCCGGGCTTGGATTCAAGAATTGAAATGGAAAAAAGAGGGTCAATTTCTTGTACAAATATGAAAATCAAATGATTCATCTGGTCACAGGATCCAAGGCAGATGGCATTATTATGATCATTATCGGAGGATAGACAGCTAAGTAAAGGCAAGGTAAGGTAGAGTAAAGTAGTGGAGATGATTTTGTTGTGTCACTCTCTGTGTTCCATGGTTGGTTCCGTTCGGAGCCAGGGATCTCATTGTTTTGCCTTATCCAATTTTGATACTACGTCGGGTACTACGATTACTAGCAGTATTTGGTCTTGTTTAATGTAGACTTCTTATCATCACCTCCTAATAAATATGTGGTAGTATGACTGTATGACTCTATCATTGTATTCCGTAGTTAAGATTTGAACCTCATTAATCTTGGGTCTTCCATGGTCATTCTGTGCCCCGTTGGAATGTCGTTGGCACACGGGCCAATGGAATAATCACCTGTGCACAATAGGCTTCTACTGAGTTCTGCCTGCTGGAGAGTATGACTGTCTACTGACTCAACTGTAGATGCTCCAGTAACCTTGACCAAAGAAGGGATAAGAATTCACAGATGCTAGTGACGTATATTCGGATGGCATCGAGCGTTCTTATATTACTACTAGCAAACTATTCTAGGCTATCGAAGGTCGACAGGCACAGTTTCATCGGTTCAAATTCTTTTCTCTGTCCTCAATCTGTCAAGACATATTAAAGCATTCTAATCTGAGATAGTACCTGGTTAGTGGCAGATCAGGCATCGTTCGGTTGCCACTCTCTCTTCCAACGCCTCCCCACCTCGCTGACAATTTGAGGGATTACAGTACTCTGTACTCCGTACTTCCACACAGTTGCTGTTGAAAACGATTAGATCTAAGGTATTGTTGAGAATCATTTTCTTCATTCTCAGTCATCACTGGTCAAGAAGAACAGAAAGAGAAAAAAAAAGGTGAGGAAAATCCCCTCATCCCTTCGGGTATACTTCTGGCTGTCTTTTGATTATGATTTTCTTTTTCTCCGTTTCTTCACGATCAGCTTTTTGCTTTAATTATGGCCCATTATTATTACTTTCCTTCCGTTGGGTAACAACGACTTAAAAAGACTTTGCGTCCATCTGCGCGTATCTTTGTCCTTGCAGCCTCTTTTCCCTCTCCCTCTTCACTTTCCCCCTCTCTCTCAAGTCTTCATATTGTCTTTTACAGATCTTCCTTCTTGGTTACTTTACTTATCACTCTACCCAATGATATACGTGTTGTCATCCTGACTGGATCTGTTCCATCGCGTTGTCAATCTGTCTTCCTCTTCCTGTCTATCTACCTATCTAAACTCTTCTCCTCCATTCTCCACAGTTACTAGTTCACCACATTTTCTTTGCGTCCCAACCCCACCTTCAAGCCTACTGCGGTCTTCGGAGTACGGGCCTCTCTACTCGTCAACTCGTCAAGGCCTAATCACCTGGGACGAAACGAACACCCAACCGGTACACTACTAGGACAGACTACTGGTTACACGCTTGGTCTGCGTCTACACTCTGCAGCCAGGCGACTTTTTCTTTCGCCATTCCTCCATTCACCGTTCGCCAGATCTTTCACTGCACGCTTCTCCTCTTTTTGTTCTCCCGTCAGTCTCCGTTTCTGCTCCGTATCTGCCACATCCTTCTGCTTGTCGACCCACCGTCTCTTCCGTCTACCACAGCTGGAGGGTTTCGCGCGTCGGACCAACCAACGCCGGCTTCACTCGCTGTCTGCTTCGTTTTCATTAGTATCTCCTTGAAGGAAAAAGAAAGGAAAAAAAGAAAAATTATTCGATGGAGACATTGCAGGCTTTGAAGGACGACTACCAGTTTGCATCCACTGCCCGGCGCTGACAGACTGCGATCTAGACGCGCGCCGTCACTCTACTACTGGTTGCCTGACCTGCAGGCCGTTCTACATTTTCGGACCATCGCAGAAAGTGGATTGAAGGAACAAACCACGAAGCGGGGAATTTCTACCATATTACCCATATTGGGTAAGGCGAAAGGGTAAAATTAAAGGAGAAAATTAAAAAGAAAAAAGGGGAAAGGGGGAAAAAAAAAGAAACAAAAACTAAGTCAACCTGAAGGAGCAGCAGTGGTGGCTCCTGTTAATCGACTAAGCAATCCGAAGCCTGCTGGATCACCACGTTTCACGTCATCCACTGTGTCCTTCCCTACCAGCCCCCTCCCCTTTAGTTAGGGACCCAACCTGGGCCTTGGCCGTTGCCTTGAAGTCATGACTGGCAAAGTGCCTCATGCTGCCTTCGTTGAGGAGTACGACGAAGACGCAAACGTCATTCTCCCCGACACCCGTCAAGTTGCTCACATCGCTGCAAAACGCTCCAAGGCTGACCTGAGATCTGGACTTGAGCCCTTGGTTGATGGTGCCAGTGATTCAGGATACTCCAGTCGCACAGCCGCCACTATCAATAGCGCCCAATCTGGCCCATCGGGCCGGAAAAGTCCTGTCCCTCTTAAACTCGACTCCACGCTCAAGCGAGCCGACCTTGAAAAATTTCGCTCCTCTCGCAAAGATCGTGCAAAAGAAAAGCCTGCACGCCCTGTGCGTGACGATAAGATGCAGGTGGGAACCTATCCCAGTTCCAGCCATTACGCTGCTGCTCCAGTTCAGCGGTCCCCTTCCAGACCCCGACGACGAGACAGTGTTCATGTGCGTCACGTCCCAGGCACCTGCCGGGATTGCGATCAAGGATTGTACCATGCCTCAACACCAATAGAACCGAGACGGATGGAACGTCCCTACTATGTCTCGCAACCGCCGCCCTCAGTTTACGACTATCCTCCGCCGCCACCATCACCACAAGGCCTATACCCCCCGTCCGTCATCCAGGACGTTCATGTCTCTCACAGCAGCCGTCCCTCCGCCCGTTCCGGTCGCTCCAACTCGTATCACTCGAATGCTCGTCCGTCGAGCTTTCATGGGATGATGCCAGGTATGGGGCCCATGGTGTATACCCCGTCTCCTATGAGTCGCTACGAAGCCGGGCCTCCGCTGGCTTCACCCGTTTATGCCAATAGCCCGTCCTATGCAGCCTCGCATTATGCCCAACAGTCTCCATATTATGGGGTACAGGAGTTTGCGGCTCTTCCTCCAACCGACCACCACCAGGAACGATCGGTCTCCAAGACTAGAGAGAAGCAGCCGCGTGCGCGGCACCCTTCTCTTTATGGACCACCTGTCGTGGATCATGTGCCTCCCACCCCGCCTTACGATGAGAGCGAGGATGACGACGATGAAGAAGACGACGATGACAGTGAAGACGAGCAACTACTCGAACCGCCACCTCCTCCTCCCGTCCGGTCCCGACCACGCCTTCCTTCTCAGTCATCTCATAATCGCGATGAAGATTATTATCGCATGCCGCCTCCGCCGATCAAAAATAACACCCGGCCGCACGTCATTCAGAAACGCCCCGATCCACCACGAAAGTCAGCAACAACCACGTCTCTCACCTCGGAGCGCCGCTCATCCAGAAGCTTTGATCTATCGGAGATGGAAGACGCGCTGCCGAGCTACGGATACCGGCGGTCTTCACGCGAGACCGTGGTTCCTGAGCGAAGCCAGAGTCTGAGGGGTAGCAGACGCTCTACGTCCTATCATGACTCCGTGCGCCCGGCTCGAATTGCCATCGAGGGTGCTCGTCGCCAACGGACAACTGTCTATGACTACAATTCAGGCGGCGATATCGAGGATAAGCAGCGAGAGGCAGAAGAGTATCAGGCGTCGAGATCAGGCAAAGCCGTGGCGGTGCCACTTACCGCGGATGCCCTGCGCAAAGCCAAAACATCGCAGCGTGCGGAAAGTGACAGCGGAAGTCAGAAGAGCCGTAGCAGCCGAGGTAGTGATGCTCGCACTCAAAATGGTAGCAGCGGCGAGGCCAAGCCGGAGGAAGACGATAACATTGTCATGACCATGAATGGTGTGACTATGAGTTTCACTCAAAAGTCTGTCGGGGGAAAGAGGATCAGCGTCCGGACTGGCGACACGGGAGCGGTTGAGCTGAACATCGAGGGCAAGCGACCGAAGAAGTATCTAACCGGCGGCTCCGATTATACAGGCAGCGTTTCCCGAAGGGAACTGGAAGACGCGCGGCGTCCCCGAGGTGACCGGCGGTCCGACAAGGCCAGTCACCGATCCAGTCGATCGACTTACAGTGGGCGACACTAGGCCACCTCGCCTTGATGCACGTTGTCCTCCTTTGATGCTTTGTCTTGTCATCTCTCTTGGTTGAGCTCACTTATAGATGGTTCGTTCATGCTCGAATTGCCTACCTCCTCGAGGTCTATGCTTTGTGCAGAATCAACTCTGCCAGGAACAGGTGGTTAAAGCAGTTTACCAAAAGTTTCTCTGCTTTCTTTTAAGGTTCGGGTTTTGTTTATGGGAAGAAAAAATGGGTCCACGGAAATCACCGAGATCGCCGACCATCTTGCGATCCATCCGTGCTTGTCATTTTGATCGAAAAAAGTGGAGAGGCTTGCAGATGATTCGAAAAGATCTCATTGCATTTCCGTGGTTTTTTGGTTAACGGGCGGCTCTTTGTTTCTATTGTTTGATTTTACGCGCAGAGGATGGATGGTGTCAACTGACTCCGACCGATCACGCCCATCACGGCGAAACGATTGTACGATTCTGATGACCTGCAATGATTCATGTTGATGCGTTTATGTTTATGCTCCGTCATGCCCCTCTGCGAGTGTCGTTGGTTTGTATAATTGCCTTGGATGGCCCTCATGTGTTTCCTTATGCATGTCTGTCTGTTTGCGTTGTCTTTCTTGGTTATCAGCATTTGAGGACAAGTTAGAATCGACGGAGAAGGTATACCCCGATTTGTTTGTTCGTCGCCAATGACTATTTACTTTTGAATTTTCATGTCCCATTAGCGATACCTGTACCTTTCTTCTCCTACTTGTGCTTTGCTTAAGGGTCCCGAGTTACTCGTAGTTGGTGGATGGCCGGTTTTCTCATCTCGAGGTCGTGATGTACTTTTCCTTCTATTTCATCCCCTTCCAAGGCCATTCCTTTCGAATACTCTTCGCCATTTGACACAAGCCCGGACGACCCGGACTTTTGATACGATTATACCGCCGATAGGCTTGCAAAAACCAGTCGGTGTTCCATATTCAATACGATTAATTCAATGCATCACACCGATAAACCTCACCTGAATTCAAAAGGTCCTAATCTCTGATCCCACCATCCAGATAACTCTATATATAGACAATAAACGAAGTCGCAGCAAGGAAAAAACTCCGGAAATCAATGAGCCCCAAGTACAATCGCAACAGCTCAACTCCGTCTCAGAACCAGGGCAATCCACCCGAACAGCCTATACACAGCAATAATACCAATCAAGATCCCCACCCACTTCCCCGTCCGCCCAGTCGCATACCCATACGACTCAAGCACACCCGTTCCTCGAATCCGGCACTGCGCCGCAAGATCGGTCTGGTACATACAGTGGCACCCGTCGCCGCAGGTGTACGTCCTGCGCGAGAACTCGTTGACCATCATCCCCTGGAAGACGTATGCCTAGGAGTAGTTAGCACCATACCCTCTCACAATTCGCAGCAGGAGGAAGCCGGCAAGGGGAAAGTACCTGATAATCAATATAGTGAAAAACATATTTCCAGAAAGGGTTAAGGATAGTCGGAGAGACGAGAAACCCGCCGACGCTCATCCAGAGGCCGTTAGCGAAGGCGACGAGGGCAAGCGAGATGACGAAGTTGGGGAAGATGGAGGTGACGAAGACGACGAGGGATTCGGCGGCGAGGAGGTCGAGGAAGAGCCACATGACCCATGTGAAGAAGGCGACTGCGTCGGAGCGAAAGTTGGAGAGCCAGTAGGCGACGAGGGAGAAAAGGATTGAGATTAGGACTGTGCAGCGGCAATTAGTTGTAGGGGAGGGAAAGGTGGAAAGAGGAGGGGACGTACAGAGGAAGGGAAGGCCGATGATAAAGTTGGAGATTATGAATGGGAGGGCGCCGTAGAGGCCGTTTGCTCGCTCCTTGATGAAGGTCGCGCGGTCTTCGAGGAAGGCGGGCACGTAGGCCACGGCCATGAAGCTCATGAAGGCGGATCCGAAGAACTACCGCCATGTGAGCGTTGTTCGAAGAAAGAACGAGGGAACTACTTACGATTGCGTTGATGAAGGGCTGGATGTACTCTTGTGACTCATGTAGGCGTAGCCAGACAGTGCCCATCATGATGGCCAGCCCTAGCTCGAGTCAGGATGCTTTGAGCATGACTTCTGGGATAGTTACTTACCCAGATACATGACGATGCGGATGCCATACGCCACAACATCGCGGTAGCTCTTGATGAAAGAGCGGTGCAAAAGTGACCAGGTGATACTCGCAGTGCTGGGCCGAGAGAGCTCTCCCATTGTGATCTTCTTCCCGTCCTGCTCGGGGCGCTCGATCAACTGTGAGACGTGACTGTCCACGGCCCTCCGCTCGGCGGACTGCAGCCAGGAATCCTGCATGTGCTGCACTCTCTCCACGGCATTACCTTCTTTGGCATCGGAGAAGTCGGAGCTGACGATATCGAGAATGAACTCTGCGGGATTCGTGTTCAACGGGATGGGGTGCCCGATGCTGCTGAAGTAGGTCGACATGTGAGGAACGGGGCCAAAGTAGCAGGTCTTGCCTTTGGACAGAAGAAGCAACTTGTCGAAGAGCTGGAATGTGGTCGTCGACGGCTGATGGATACTTGCGATGACGATGAGCTGCGTGACCCGCGTCAGTCTTGTCTTCAATCCAGTAACGGCATTCGTCTTACATTGTTGGCTACCGCCAATTCCTTGACATATGAAATCACCTCATAACTCGCCGTCGAGTCCAGACCGCTAGTCGGCTCATCCAAAAAACAAATCTTCGGACAGGTGATCAGTTGGCTTGCGACGCTTACTCGCCGTTTCTGACCTCCGCTGATACCCTTTCGGATTGGAGTTCCAACCAGCGTCGCAGCCTGATTTAGAATGCCAAAGGACTCCAATAGAGTCTGGATACGGTCACGCCGCTGCGCTTTTGAAACAGAGCTGCAGGCCCCTGTCAGTAAGCCTTGTAGCACAGAGAACCATCATTGGAAGCATACCTTGGCAGCGAAAGATCCGCAGCAAACTTCAACGTCTCCTGCACCGTCAACGAGCCGATCAGAGCGTCCTCCTGCTCCACGTAGGAAGTGATCCGGCCAAAGGTAGCATTGTCGAGCGGCCCTCCATTGACGTAGCATTCCCCCGTGGTCTTCGCGCCCGATGTAGCTGCCCGGCGCGCGAGCACATTGAGCAAAGTCGTCTTGCCACATCCCGACGGGCCCATCAAAGCAACCAGTTCGCCTTTGGCAAACGTTAGTACCGGCAGTTTCAATAGTAGCAATCATATAGAAATAGCATACCCTGTTGAATACTCCCACTGATACCCTCAATCAGATTCAGCGGCTTCTTCGTCCGGCGGTCCTTGACGGTGACGGTCAAGTCATTCCAGGCGAAGTTGTGGACTGTATGATTGACCAGAAACTGGTCTCTATCATTTCTCTCCAGGTCAGGACTGATGATATCTTTGCCCATGGTGAACAGCAACTAAGTCAGGTGACTTTGCGGGTGGAAGTATAACGGAGAGAACAGTGGGACAACAACAAAACAGTCGGAGGGAGATAAGTCATTTTGAATGATTCTCAAACTTAAATAGAACAAGGATCGATGTGTGAGGAGATCAATGGTTCGCAGCCACAGTCGATTAGATTTCACGCTGCTTACTCCATGGATAGATTGATACTACCCACAGCCCATCCTGGAATCCCAAGGTAGAAGAACATCCACCCCGAAGAGCCCGGGGACGCCGACGGAGCCTCAGGCATTCATTCTAGGGCGAGTCGCCGTCTACCAGCTTCCCATCCATGGGATCTATCGGCCTATGATTCATATTTCCCAACTCTGATAACCCCGAGTCTTCGGACTGAAAAATTTATCCGCTGATCTCGTCCGATATCCCTTACCATGCCGATCTTCGAGGGTAACGGTGGTACAGCATGTGTGTACCTTGCGCGCTGACACACAAAGTACATTCGAGGACTGTCACGACGCGGAAAAAGATGCAACTACTTGGCAGCTGAGCGACCAACGCGGCGGCTAATCATGACGCTTGCTGGAGACGATGTACAGTAGTCTCGGCCCTAGCCGCAGTGCTAGCTAGCTGTGCAGATGGTAATGAGTAATGACCGTTAGGCACTTACTGCGCCGCCCCCCCGGTGGGCATTGTGCAGTAAGCGGCATGTAACGCTGCAGTCTGTTGGTCACATTTCTGGAACAGAGTGAAACTGGAGCCCGAACTGATGTTGGCTTTTGCTATTCCTTCCAGTGACTAGCGGAGATATGGACTGCGCTATCTATGGTTGTCTTTGGTTGTCTTGCCCGTTTTTTCTTCTAAACGTTGTTCATCTGAATAATTGAGTTCTTGTTCCGAGGCGTTGGAAAGTCTCGACCTCCCAATCTGCTGTGTTGTACCAAAGTCTCTGCTCAAGCCTCCTTCGGACTGCGTTGGTATATCTGGTTTGCAGGCTTACGTGAGATGTGATGCCTGACATGTACATAAGCAAGAGCAAGAAAACATATTTGGTATTTAGTAATAAGAAGTCTTCATTCTAATATTTATATTCTCCTTCATTGCGCCATTTACATGCTGGAGAAAAGGGTAAATGTTAGTCCAAGTTTTGTTTCTAGATTCAGGGTGATCACGTACCGTTCAACAGGGCTGAGACCCAGAACCCTCATGCCGTTGTGCAATACTTGCCTGGCCGCCTCGTACAGTGCCATACGGGCCTTCTTAAGTTCAGGCTCACTTCCCACAACCTTGAGCACGTCGTAGCTGGAGCTGAGAATGTGTGTCATACGGAACAGGTAGGTGAGGATGGTAGTTGGCTCAAGGGTCTTGGTAGTGTTCAGCAGCACATCTGGCCAGGTCGCCAGCAGACGGACGAGGTCAACGGCATGGGGCTCCGTCAGAAGGTCGAGGTTGGCAGAGTCCAGCTCTTCAACATTCAGGCCCGACTTGCGGACAATGGAGCAGAGACGGGCATGTGCGTACTGCAGGTAAGGACCAGTGTCACCCTCGAACGAGGTCATCGCATCGAGGTTGAAGTCATAGCCGTTAATACTGCAGTCTGTTAGTTTTGTGGGCTCAACCTAGGGAGAAGCGAAATATACGCACCGTTTTCCGGTCATGTCCTGTACCATGACCGAGGTCAATCCCAGAATATCCGCCGTCTCTTCGGGGTTCTCGACCTGCGCGTACTTCTCGGCATTGCCCTTCATGACTTCGTGCATCTTGTCCGCAACATCCCTCAGGATGTCATCCAGGAACTTGACAGTACCCTTACGGGTGCTCATACCACGGACCATACCAAAGTTGATGTGCTGGCAGCGGCTGGCCAAATCCTTGCGGCCCATCAGCTCTGTGATCTTGAAGAGTTGAGCCAAGTGGAGATCCTGCTGAGCGGCGACCACGTAGATCATCTTATCGAAGTGGTAGGCCTCATCACGCTCCATGATAGCTCCGATATCACGGGTCAGGTACAGAGGAGTGCCATCTTTGCGGACAATGATGGCCTTTCCGAGCTTCTTGGCGCCATGCTTGGTGAAGTCGACGATGACAGCACCCTCGGACTTCTCGGAAACTCCAGCCTTTTCCATAGCGTTGTAGGCGGCGGTCATGCTTTCGTTTTTGATCTGAGACTCTCCAGAGTAGACATCAAAGTCAATGTTCAGACGAGCATAGGTCTGCTTGTACTTCTCAATACTGAGGTCACGGAATCGTCGCCAGAGGGCGAGAGCTTCCTGGTCCCCATCCTCCATGCTCTTGAAGTAACGACGAGCCTTCTCGTCTTCACTAACATCAACGAGCTTGGCAAGCTCGGCTTCAAGCACGGTGACATCCTCGTTCTTCTCCTTCTTGGCCTTGATCTGCTCCTTCAACTCCTTGATGGGGCCCTCCTGCTGGGCGACAATCTGGTTGATCTTGACGTAGACATCGAACAAGTGGTTGATAGGGTTCTTAAGCAGCTCCTCCTCATTACCAAAGCGCTTGAATCCATTGGCAAGGAGACCGTATTGCTTTCCCCAATCACCAAGGTAGTTCATCTTGATGACGTCCCAACCCATAACGGTGTAGAGATTCGCTAGGAAACCTCCGATGATGGTACTCCGAAGGTGACCAGCATGGAAGGGCTTGGCGATGTTAGGCGACGAGAACTCGACAATGATTCTCTTCTTGCCCTTGGAAGGATCCGAAGGGTCTCGCAAACCCTGGTTACCATTGGTACCGAATGTAGCCTTCTCCTTCAGAATACGGGAAATGACGGTCTTGGTGAGAGGTTCGGGCTTGAAGAAAAACTGCAGATGGACGCCAAAGGGGACAGGAGGCGCAACTAGATCGGACTCGGGGAACTTCTCTGCAAGCTCCTTGCACAGTTCTTGGGGGTTCTTCTTGATTTGCAAGGATGGAACCTAGGGCATTGACCAATGTTAACCTTCGCTCGTCCCTTGTCTCTAGCTTGGTGGATCACGCAATAGTTCGTACCGGCAGAACCAAGTCACCCTTGTCCAGTGTATTGGTCCATTGCAGCTTGGGGTAAAGCTTCTCGGGCTCGATGCCAGCTGCGGCACCCAGCTTCTCCGCAATGTGCACTCTGTAGGCGTCGACAGGATTTAACGAGGGGTAGCAGTTGGGGAACTTGGAGGTCTCAGCGGTAGAATGGAGGGTCAGCCCCTCAACGGCGACAGGAAGGTCAGCGGCAGATGCCATAGCTGCGACTAATTTCGAGGGCTTCCCGGAGAGCGCGTACAGCGAAGCGGAGGTACCGAAGGCTCGAGAGCAGACGGACGGACGTGGGGTATTAAATTGAAGATCGGTAGAGGTACGAAAGTAGGAAGGAAAGCGACTTTGCAGTGGACTGTAGGATCGAACAGTCAGGAAAATGTCGCTTGAAAATCGCCGGGCCCCGCTAAGCAGATAACGACCCATAGACGGAGGGGAATCTTTAAGCCTCGCGAGGGGAACAACTTTTTCCTTCGTTGACTCAAAGCGGCAATTCAGCTTCTGCCCAAGGCGGTGACTCAACGGTTCCTCTCATGTATCACGTGCCCAAGATGAGCCCTACTCGCAGGTTTGGCATCGCTGCTGACGTCACCAAACTTCAACAACCTGTTCCCGATGTTGTATCAGAGGTACAAGAGCAATCTTCGCGACGCTTCAAATATGTCGCTCGCAATGCAGCCCTGGCTGATTATGCGATTGAGCAAGCAGCATTTTAACCATGACAGGAAGTCGCCGTCACTCAGCTTTGGCCAAGTCCATCCAGCTTGCGCTGTTTCGTGACCCGAAAGCGTTTCGCAAGTCACTGCTTGGACGTATCCTAGCATTCTTCAGTATCTTCTATATCAGACTCATCAGGTACCGCGACGAACTGTTCCGCAAGCTTCGCAATGACGTCTGGGAGATCGACGAGGTGGAGTACAAAGCGTGTTTCCTCAGCGAGAACAAGACCCTACCATTGAAGCCGATGGGGGATTTGGGGTTGTCCGGATCAGTATGTTGACTTGGAATCAACATACGGGTGAGCGGTTCTCGAATCTAACATAGTGTAGACATTCTTTTCCACATCCAACAACAAGTTTCTCGTCAAGAGTCTCCCGCGACATTTCGAACACTCCTTCTTCCGAGAAGACCTCCTCGAACCGTACTACGAGTATATGAGCACTCATGCAGACTCGATCCTGGTCTGGATCACAGATTATGTGTATGCACCGTACAGAACAATCGGAAGCATTTTGAAGACCACGCCGGCCCATCATATCATCATGGAGAATATGCTTGCCGGGAAGGACGAGGACTCTGCCAAGGACGACTGGGAGACGTATGATTTGAAACCAATCGACTACTTCTACCCGGAGCGGGACTTACTGCCGGATCCGTTGGTCAGCGAAGAGACCCTGAATAGGCTGGCCGATACGTTTGAGGATAAGGTTCACATGCGGCAGTCGGATTATGAAAGGTTTCGAAAAGTACTCGAAGCCGACACTCGCTTCCTCCAGTCAGCAAATGCTGTTGACTACTCCCTCTTTCTGATCCGTTACCCTGCGTCCTCCAATCCTGGCGTGGTGGGAAAGAAAAATCCATGGCGCGTAGGATTCAAGTCTCTTGATGGGAAGTGGAAGTACCGTGCGGTAATTCTGGATTTCTTCTGGGCGAAACACAAGCTGCATGCGCAGGCTATGACCGGAGTGGTGCAGACCTTTAATATTATCGGGCGTCAGGGGCCCATGACGATCACAACAACGGCAGACGAATACCGACAGAAATTCTTGGACATGGTGGATGAGCTGCTGGAGGTGCATTGATCTTGAGAATGAGAATGATCCTAGCCGTGCGGCAAACGATATAACAAATATTAGTACCTAGATGTGCATCATAATCGTAGTTCATGCTAATACAACGGCGCCGCGGCTTTCATTATGGGCCGCGCAATGCTATTGATCTAACCGCTGACTCATAAACGTGTTTTCCTGTAAGAATGGTCGTAGTCCGAGCTCAAATGTCATTAAACAAGACATAGAGACCAGCCGGACTGCTCTATCGAAGAATTTCACAGACATATACTATAAGCAGAGCGGATGCCTGACCAAGACATCTGCTCTCAGCATGCAAAGCGTGAAAACAGAACCATGCTCAAAAGACAAGTATGAATATGAAGACGCATCGCTTTTCGTAATCTAGAAGCAGAAGACTTGGTCCTCAAGCTTGCTGACCGGACGAGCCTTGGTGTAACCGAGCGACTCGGTAGCCTTCTTCATCGCACTGATCATAGGAGGGGGACCGCAGAGTAGAATCTTGACGTCGCTGGCAGGCGCAGGGAGATGTTCCTGTGAAAGATATGAGTATCAGCAAGAGAACCAATCAAGTCAACATGAGGAGGAATGATGCGAACCTTGATCATCTCGGGGGTAACAAATCCAACGCCACCGGTCCAGCCTTGAGGAGGGTTGTTCAGAACATAGTAGATGTTAAAGTCGGGATCCTCAGCAGCCAGCTTGTCCAGCTCCTCCTTGAGCAGGATGTCGTCTGGGTTGACATTGGCGAAGATCATGTCCAACTTGGTGGTGTCGTTGCCGCCGTTGCGGGGGCGGTTGCGAATAACGGCCTTGATGATCTGCAGCATGGGGGTGATACCAGTACCACCAGCAATCATACCAATGTGACGGCACATGTTTGGGGTGTAGACCATGGCACCCTTGGGACCGCGCACTTTCATGGTATCGCCAATCTTCAAGGTGGTCAGGTACTTGGAAATGTTACCCTGGGGGTAGGCCTTCACGAGCAGATCAAAATAACCGGCCTCATTGTCCGAAGATATGGGAGTGTAGGAGCGGACGACCTCTTTCGGCTGGCCCTCGATAGTGGCAGCGAGGGAGATGTGTTGACCAATGGGCAAACCCAGGATATCGGTGGGACGGGGGAGGGCAAAGCGATAGATGCAAACATTGTGCGAGATGTCGGTTTTCTCCTTGAGCACGAATTCCTGGAACTCGGTAGGGATGAGAACCTTTCTAGGCTCTGCCGAGGGGGGACACTTGTCAGTACATTGAAATGACTGTGGTAAAAAAACAGATGCACGTACTGCTGCCGCCTGTGAACAGCTTCAATCCAGCCAGGATAGCGGCCAAAGCCACTGCATATGGGACGAACTCCTTCTTCACAATAAAAGTGCCGAAGATGAGGAGGGCCGAGGGGATGTAGACCCCATTGATGTTCTCAGATGACAAGGCACTGCAACATGTGACGAGGAAGATTAGCTAGACGACCACAAAATTGGCATTGACGAGGACAGAAGTATGAAGAAAGTATATACCTCATCTCGGACGATCCTCCGTTGTAAAAAAAGTTGAATATAAAGAAGGAGAGGAGGAAAGAGAACTGAGGAGGGGCGGTTGGGGGGCAAGGTAAGGAAAAAGAGAGATCCACGACGGAGAAGGCTCGGCAGTCGGGGCTCTGCTTTTATTTTATCTTTGCTGGGGTGGAGGACGCCTGGGGCCGGTAACTGACATCCCCTCAACGTCCCATTGTTGACCCCATGTTCTTTTAAATTTTTAAGTTGTATGTATATATCATCTGTACGCAGGAATACAGAGTCCACCACATAATTTATTGTATAACTAAACTCAGATTTCACGATAAACAACAGCTCAGCTCAGGGATTCCCCTGCAATTCCGCTGTAGCACCAGGCGCGGAATCCGCGGCCCGTTGGGGTTTGTTTTCCTTTCCTGGGGTAAGCCGTCGGATTCCTCGTCCGAGTGATCCTGTGCCATGTCTAGACTAATAGATGCGCGTCTTGAACAATATTTCCGGCATCAAGTCTTGCTTACCTCAAGAAACGATATCTCTTAAAGCGATAATGGATACAACGTCTGAACCTCCCGCCTTTAACCTCACCGACACCGACCGGGAGGTCTTGGCCATGACGGACGAGCAATTCGTCCCCCACGACTGGGACAACCTCAAAGATATCATCGGTATGAGATCCAGACCCTACCTAGTACTAGATAGATCTATCAACAAGTGATGGGAACGACCCCCCATTGAGTTCCCCTCCCCCTCATTCCTCCTCTCCACTTCCAGTACCGCATCAATCAACACATAAACGGGAGTATCTATTGATGGCTCGCCTTTTCCCCGCACACAGCACGAAATGATCTCGGCGCTCTGAAGCGGAAACCATCCGATCTAGTCCGATACCTCTCCTGGTCCAGAGACACCAAAGCCCAATACGGCTCCATCACAAATTTCATCTGCAAGCGTCGTCTGGGCTGGCATTTACCAGAACCCGCTGGCACCAGTGACTCCAGTGGCACCGCCGTGGCAGACAGCGAGCCGGTCTTCCCTTACAACAACCCGATCCCCTTTGCCGATCCCTCGGATTACAAGATCCTCCGCAACGACTGGCCATACGGTCTTGCGCCGGGTATTGCGCACTTGTGCGTGTGGCTGCGCACCCCTGTGCCTGTCCAGGAACACGGCGGTGACTTGACGCATGAGTCGCGTGCGCTGATCGAGGAGTTTGTGCAAAGGACGTTTGTGGATCGGCTGGCGAGAGAGGGGTACTCCAACCCTGAGGATCGTGTGCTGTGGTTCAAGAATTGGACGGCGCTGCAGAGTGTGAGGAGTCTGGAACATATCCACGTTCTTGTTAGGGATGTCCCAGAGAGCATCCTCTTCGAGTGGACGCAGGAACCGCCTCGCGACGGGGTTCCCAATTAGGACTCGATGTGGAGTTCTATGCATATAGACAGAACGAGGCTGTCTCTCCGATCTACATGTCACGATGCTAATGAATAGATTTTCGACTTGTTGAAATATCAGGGCTGAAAGTAGAGGAAGAAGACTAGTTAAATTTAGAGTACATATAAACAGATATCCGTCAAACAAAGCAACCCGATACCGCAAACGAAAAGAGGGATATAATTTGATCTCCATAGCAGAAATATTATCAATAGTACGCCTGCTATCCTCCAATCCAGCAAGTGAGTAGAAGAAACTCGGAAAATTAAGCTCAGTTATTGGCCACCGTCCAGGTGCGCTATTCTTAAGTCTTCTGCTCCTCAACGAACTTGAGCGCCTCTTCTCTGGACACAACGTCAATCGTACTAGCCTTCTGCCGGAAGCTGACACCGTAGCATTTCTCTGCCACATGCAACATTTCAGGACGGAAGGTGGTGCAAATGAACTGTCCGTTGGTAGATTCCGAGATGGACTGGAGCATCTGAGCAACGGCGGTTCGGTACTGAGCGTCGAGGTTGGCATCGATCTCGTCAAAGAGGTAAAACGGCGCCGGGTCACAGGCTTGGATTGCGAAGACCAGTGCAAGTGCGCAAAGACCTGCTCAAAATCATCAGTAAGTCGAACGGAGCGCCTGGGGAGGAAAGCTCTTACTCTTTTGGCCACCACTAAGTTGCTGAATCCGCTGTTGTTCATCATGCTTACTGTTGAAGCTCACACTGATGCCCACTCCAACGTAGTTTTCGACACTCTGCTGTGCTCGTTCGTCGTCGGAATCCATGTCATCCTCTTGTCGGAGAGCACGGTCGGTCTTCCGCTGAATGATCAAGCGCCCACGGCCAGCGGGGACGAGCTTTTCGAAGATGTTGGCAAACTCACGAGAGACTTGCTTGAACGTACGCTCAATAGCCTCATCCTTGCGCTGGTCAAGTACTGAGATGAGTTCCTCGATTGACTTCTGCGATGCTTCGAGTTCCTCTCTCCGGTTGGTTAGGGTTTCGCGCTGCTTGGTGAAGCTGTTGTACTGCTCGAACGCTTTCTTGTTGACATGCGAATACTTCTTGAGAGCCTCATTGACCTTGTGCAACTTCTTAACAACGGTGTTCGAGTCCGTGTGCTTGTACTTGGTAAATGCTTCGTCTGGAAGCACGCCCAGGTCGCGGATATTTGCCGCACATTCTGCTGCTTGCTTGGTCAAAGCAGCCTTTTTCTGCATATTCTTTTCCATGCGACGCTGGTGCTTTTCGATGGACCTCGCCAGCTCTTCCAGTTCAAGACGGATTTCAGCCTTTTGTTTCTCGAGCTCATTTGCTTGAGCGTTTGCTTTCTCGATAGACTCGTCCACCTTCTGGAGGCGTTGGCTCAGATTCTCCAACGACTTGCGCAGTCGCTTCATCTCCCGCTCGGTCTCCTTCAGATTGCCCTGGCCATCATCATCTCCTATATCAGTATCGCGGCTGACAAGCTGGTCTAGACGGGGGTTCAAGTTCTCCCGAAGTTCGACTTCGAGGATCGACTTTCGGGCCTCCAACTCGCTTCGCTGAGCAGAGAGTTCCTGATATTGCCGCCGAAGATCCTGAGCAACGACACTGAGTGACTCGAGCTGTGCCTCTTCCTCATTGCTCAGCGCCTTCTGGAATGGTGTTTTCAGCTCCGCCTCGAACGCATTCACCTGGTCGTTCAACGCGGCCAGATTGGTCTCGATATTGCGGAGAGCCTTGCGCTTGGCGTCAAGACTGTCGTTCTTCTGAAGAAGAAGATCCCGTTTGCTTCTGAGCTCTTGCCGGAGCGGTCCACTACTATGCTGTACCTGTTGTCTCTGTTGCTCCAGCTTTTGCAATTCACCGACAGACTTCGTAATGACCTGGTCCAACTTCTCCAGCTCCTTCCGAATTTCTGCCCCTCGGTTCTTCTTGTTCTCATATTCATCCCGCCATTTCGTTAGGTTTCTCACTGCGTCAAGTCGAGATTGCCGAGAGTCGTGGAAACCACCAGTAAGCGCACCTCGCTTATCAGACCGGTCACCATCGGGCGTAATCGCATTGACACCATGGCTTCGAGCATATTGCGAGGCAACCTGAAGGTTCGGGCAAATAATTGTCTTGCCAAACACATGGTTGAAAGCCTTTTCGTAGGCAGAATCATATTGTAGCTTGTCGATCATTGGAATCGTATCGCTCGCTCGAGGCAGATTGGCGGGCTTGGATCTGAGTCTGTTTAGGGGCATAAAAGTCACTCGCCCAGCCTTCTCCTGCTGCAGTATTTCCAGCACCTTGGTCGCAGTCTCGTCCGTGTCCACGACATAATGGAACAGACTCTGGCCAGCTGTGACTTCAACCGCAGTCCGATATCTGTCATTCACCTCGAAGAGTTCCGCCAATGTTCCATAGACTCCTTCAAGGTTGTGCTGACGTTTGATCCTTCGCACAGCCGCAATTCCACGACTGGTATTGTGGTCCATCATCTGAGAAAGTGCGCGTTCTGCCCGGTCCACTTCATTTGAAGCGTTGGCAAGAATCGAGTCGAGCTTCGCTTCTTCTCGCCACAGTTCTCTTGAAAATAATTAGGACATCGAGCTCGTTCATTCAGGGTCAAATGGAATTAAGGCAGGAGGGAGAGATGGAAAGTGAACTTACTTCCTCTGGTCCATCAATCTATCCCTTTCGTCCTTTGCAGCTTGAACCTGTTGTTCTACAGAATGGACAGTGTCTCCCCTGCCATCAATTTGTTGACGCAAGCGTTCCGTTTCCGGTTCCAAGAGCGCAATGTCGTTCTCAAGCTCTTTGATGTCCTCCTGAGTCTGCGCCATCACGGCCTGTACTGTGGAAATAGAGGTGTGGTTTTCCTTGATCTCGGCCTGTAGCCATTTATCGCGCTCCGACTTATTCCTGAAGCGCGAGTTGCGACCCTGCTTGGCATACAGACGTTGGCGGGTTGTCTCGGCTTCATTCAGCTGCGCTTTGATGTTGTCTTCCTGGTCTCTGACTGCATTGAAGCGAGGAATAAGTTCCTCGAGTTCGGCCTCGCGCTCCTTGATCGCGCGCTCGACGGTCTTGAGATCTTCATCATGGCGTGCTTTGAGCACCTGAGCTGTAGCCTGGTTCTCGGAAAGCGATTTGGCGCGCAATTCCACCTGTGCAAGGGTCTTCGAGGCCTCGCGGCGCTCGTCTTCAAGCTGAGCCTTATCCACTTTCAGAAACTCAATTTGCTGCTTGCACTCGGCGATTTCTGCATCTATTTGCGCCATCCCCTTCTCTCCTTCGATGAACCTATCTCGGTTAAGATCTGTATCCTCCACGCCGGTCTGTCTTTGTTCCTCCAGATTGTCAAGGATGCCAGAAATTTCATGTTGCTCACGAGAGTAGATGGTGTATTCCAAGCACCGGCGTTCTTTATCCTTTTCTTGAAAATTGCGCAGCTCATCCTTCTCCTCCTCAAGTTCAGCGAGCCGCTCGTTGATAAAGTCCAAGAGTTCATCAATCTTGGCCTTCTTATTGTTCGTTTCATGCATGATTTTCAATGATTCCGCACGGCGTGCCTCGTAGACCTGGGTACCAGCGACCTCTTTCAGCAAGTTCAAACGTTCAGAATCCTTCATGTTGGTCAACGCAGTGACTCGACCTTGCGGCACAATATAGTAAGGATTCGATCGCGAGAAACCGGCCGATTCGAGAAGGTTCATGACATCGGATTTGGTAGCATTTTTGCGATCAAGAGTGTATTCGTCCTTCTTTAGTCCAATAGTTCGGCGGAGGACCACTTCCGGCTTTCCAGTAGGGAATCTGTCGTCGGAGTTGTCGAAAATGATCTCAACATAGGCGGACATCACCGCAGACCCAGAACCTTCCTAGTGAACGTGAGCCAAAGAAACAGTCGAAGGAGACAGAGGGCCACATACGTGAAGCAGAGCCTGTCGCTCCTCCCTGCCAAGGTGGGTATAGGCATCGCTCAGGACGAAGCGAATGGCTGCAAAGAAGTTACTCTTGCCGGAACCATTGCGACCGACGATCACATTGTGTTTTGGGGAGAAGGGCTCGATGACCGTCTGGTCCTTGTAGCTAGAGGCATAAAAGAATTAGTCGCAACACTCAATTTTTCCCTAGAACTAGTTCAGAAAAGAGCGACATACCTTTTGAAGCCCTGAATGATGATTTGCTTGACATACATCTTCGAGGCGCGCGACGCGAGAATTAGATGACAGCTATTGCAACCAGGACATCACGCAGCCAGCAATTCCAAAGAAGGCGCTTTGAAGTTCTGCCTGCGGCCGTCACAATTTACCTTCGATGGAAGATGAGCAATACTCTGTGAAGGTGATCTTCCACATGCGACGGTGAGAACCATCGAAACACGCGAGTCCGCTCCAACCATTCACTGAAGCTACGCGTTTTCGCTCGCGGGGTTTCTGCCGGGCGGTGAAGTCAACACATGGTTCGCACCGAATTTGGCAAAAAAAAAGTGTCGGCCGCAAGTGTTCCACCACGGTTCTCAACTCGGTTGCTTGAATATTCTCAGTACAGACGAAGGAGGACATTCTAGCAGTCATGTCCACTCAAGACCCGAGCACACAGGCAACAAGCCTTGTAGATGGGCTGTCTCCTTCCCACACATATGTCCCCAACAGAGGATATGTGAACGCTGAAGGCACAGTCCCCGCCATGGCGGGGCAAGACCCCGAGGCGCAAGCAATCGAGGAGGAAGAGGACGAATACTACGATGATATCTTCGAAGAAGCGTTGGACGAGGAAGACTTCACCTCATCGAATACTGCGGATCTCACCAAAGCTTACAACCGTCAACGAAAAGTGAACGAGCTAGCTGCGGACCCCAATGCGCCCAAATGGACCTACCCGAAGACGAACACCCAGAAACCTACCGTCAACACATATGCCTCCGTCGATGATCAGGTGAAATCCTTGACTCGGCATGCGGCTAAGATCAAGCTCGACGATATGCAGTCTGGGTTGGCGGTTCGCGGTGAGCGTGGTGGCGACAGGGCCGACCGAGCAACATCCGAGCAAGTGCTTGATCCTCGTACACGAATGATTCTGTTGCAGATGATCAATCGGAATATCGTTGCGGAGATTCACGGCTGTTTGTCGACGGGTAAAGAAGCCAATGTTTACCACGCCATTTGGTTTCCCGACGAGGAGGAGACTCAACATCACCGTGCCATTAAAGTCTACAAGACTAGTATTCTGGTGTTCAAGGACAGAGACAAGTACGTTACCGGTGAATTCCGATTCAGACAAGGATACAACAAAAGCAACAACCGAGCAATGGTTAAGTTGTGGGCGGAGAAGGAGATGCGGAACCTTCGAAGAATCTACGCTGCCGGCATCCCCTGCCCGGAACCAATTCACCTGCGGCTGCACGTCCTCGTCATGGGGTTTGTCGGTAATTCCAAAGGTTTACCAGCTCCTCGTCTGAAGGATGTCGAGTTCGACACCCCAGAGCCGGAGACCAGATGGCGTGAGCTGTACATCGAGCTCCTCGGATATATGCGTGTGATGTACCAGACATGTCACTTGGTGCACGCTGATTTGAGCGAGTACAACATACTTTACCACAAGAACAAGCTGTACATTATCGATGTCAGTCAGAGCGTGGAGCATGATCACCCGCGCAGCTTGGAGTTCCTGCGTATGGATATCAAGAACGTGAGCGACTTCTTCCGCCGAAAGGGCGTGGAGACGCTCTCCGAACGTACCGTTTTTGAGTTCATCGTTACCGCAGAGGGAGCTGCCACCATTGAAGCGAGCGAGGAGATGCATGACGCTATTGAAAAGCTCTACACACTGAAGCCGGATCAAGCCGAAACCGAGCAAGATACCGCCGTTTTCCGTCAGCAATTCATCCCTCAGACATTAGAGCAGGTGTACGACTTCGAGCGTGACGCCGAAAAGGTTCGGGCGGGTGAAGGCTCGGACCTTGTCTACCGTGACCTCCTTGCAAGTGGCAAATCAGCCTCGAAGAACATCCCGGACGGGGAAGATGATCAAGAATCAGATGCCAGCGGCGGTGTTTCAGTCGCAGACTCTGCATCTGACTCGGAAGAAGGGCCCGACGGAGACGATCCGTTTGCGAAGAAACAACCGCGTGGTAAGCGGTTCGAAGACAAGGACTCTAAACGTGAGCATAAGCAAAAGGTCAAGGAGGAAAGGCGTCAGCAACGCGCAAACAAGATGCCGAAGCATCTCAAAAAACGGCTCGTCTCTACTTCGTCCAGGAAGAAGAAATGAGCGAGTCATGTCATCCTTTGCATTCAAAGAAAGATTTGTGGATACACTCCATGGCTTCTCCGGGAAATTTATTGTTTATGGATTCTATGACGGAATACTCTCATGAAGTAACGGTTGGATGCATGCATATATGGGTTTTCGAGTATACGCAAGTCAATATAGAAAGAGCGGATAGGCGAATATGGTTTTTCTCAATGGAATCCAATTTCTTTGGTGATATTTGATAAAATAGGCATAAAATAGAGGTTTGGTTGGCCCGTCAGAGCTCTCTTTGATCCTCATGTTGGTTCATTCCTATACTAGACTCCCACAATGCGCCTACGTCCAGTCTCCCGGAAAGAATATGGAGTATGCGTCATCAATGGGGTAGTCTTACAAGTAAAGGGCTCGAACCAACTCTCGGGTGAGGTTTAACCTCTTCTGAGTTCATCATGTAGGCAACCTTATTACTCAATGGCAAGGTCTGGGTTCGTATGAACATCACGGTAAAAGCTGTCCTACCAACCAATATGCTCGTGATCAAACATAGGTCATGTCGAAGCTGGGACAGGAATTTCAGATGCTGTCAAGTGTGAAGTTGGCTCTCTCAGTTCTATTACTCAAGGGGGCGAGTCGCATCATGTTGCGCCTTTGACCCTAGCCTTGAGCCGAGCGAAAGCCTGTTCCACGAGGTCCCTAGGCAGATCAGGAATAATCTCGTCTCCATCAGTGCTTTCCACTGGCGCAACGCGATTTGCTGCCTCTTCTTCACCTGTGATAGCTTCTTGTTCACTGGGGCTCTGTAGATTGACGGCCTGGACGTTGGCACCCGATATCCGTCGAAATTCAATCCGCATGGGCTCCCGGCCTATTTCGGGCCATATGTCGGATGGCAAATAGTCACCGTTTTCAACCCGGAATGTCTCGCGGGCAGTGACGTCTTCCTCATAAAGCTGATCCAGCTTGTGCCTGGCATCACGGAGGACCTTCTCGACACGCTGCCGCACATGCTTTCGACGGGCGACCTCGACAATCAGACCGTCATAAGCATCAAGGAAGCCATCGTAAAGTGAGTTCAAATCAGAAAGATCTGCCAAGCCACCGCTTATACGATCATTCTCTTCGTGCCACACTTGCGTGAAATTGTGTGCCTCCGCGATATAGCCCGGCAAGCGTGTTGACCCAAGAGAAGAAAGATGCTGGTAAATATCTGTTGTGGCATTGGAGATGGACCGAAGAGCGTCTCGTTGAGCCAATACGTTTTCCAGAACAGATTCCATCTCACCTATTCGATCTTGGATCTCCATCACAACATCTTCCGCTTCAGCTGCATCCTTGAATAGGACATTCACCATTTCTTGGTACTCGGAATTGCTCAGTGGGTCCAATGGTGCATTCAGATTGTTGTTTATATCTTCTTCAGTGTTTGAGCCCATGCGGCCGCTGACAGGTACGCCAACAGGCATATCGCCTGTGATAGATTTCGCTGCAGCCCCGCCCCCTTCGGTGTGTTTGACAGCTGTTACGCAGAGATCGAAATGCCGGACTAACGATTCCAGTAGGTTGGCCATTTCCTGTGCATGCATTTCCAGCGAATGCAACATAGATGGCATGGATGACATGGAGGGCAGGCTGGAATTGGATGCCGACGAGGAAGATGGAGACGATGAGGAACGCGACGAGGCTAATTTCGCAGCGGCCCTATAGGTTCCCAGAGCCTCCTTGATAGAGAGGAGCTCGTCATCAAAGGCATGGTTGGAGGAGTCCAGTTGCGCTTGGGCCGCAGTGGTGCGATCTATTGAGCTCTTCAAAGTTGCATGAAGTTCCTCTACACCTCGCTCGTCGACAAAATCATGTAGACTCTTGGGTTCTTCTCCTTCAGGACGAAAGACAGGGTGGACAATTGTTTCCCGAAGAAGCTCTAAGGTGCGTCTCAGTCGCGTATCCGCGTCGTCGAGGTCCTTCAAAACAGCCGCGAATTCCGAGCGCCCACGAAGGGATATCTCTTCCACTTCAGTCCGGACACTATACAAGAGCCGCAGTTGATTGTTAAGCCCGCGACGGAGAAAGCCCGTCCTCGCGGACACGACCACACATTCTTCTAATGCAGCACGAGCGGCTGTGACAATTTCATTGGCTCGCCACACATGATTAATGGATGACAAGGATCGTTTGGCCGCAACAAGATGTGAGATAAGAGTATCGAGTCGAGGCACCGCCTGCTCCTCGCTCGGCGACTGCCCTGCATCATGACGTCCACCTCCGGACGCTGACGAGGATTCGGAGGATGACATGCTTTCAATGACGCCAAGCACTCAATAATAACGCACGGAAGAACTGAATCTTCAGCCACGCTATTCCGCAAGTCCAGTTCTGCGCTGATCAGTACGACCAGGGAGCAATCCCTGAGAAGGCGTGATTTTAGTTCACAGTCACCTCATGTAGAGAACGGAGGTGACGTTCTGTCGCCTTCTGTGACTGTCCGCCTCTTTACCTGTCGAGACTCAAGTGGCGTTTTAGGTTGACTATGGCTCGCTTGTTGGACAGGGCGGATAGCTTTCTCTTTCCAAAAGCAATTTCTATCAAAAAATAACGGAAAATTCAGATAGATAGACTGAGCCAGAAGCAGAAGTACCAGAACGCCGCTTAGCGATTTAGGAGTAGAAAAAGAGCTGCTGCACCTGATGCGAAGATTTGGGGGAATTGCGACAGGAATCGATCTTCGGAGACCGCTCCAGCCTTTCCCAGAAAGACTATCTACCTGTTGTAGTCAATCGTAACAAGCAATGCTCACAGCATACATGCCATGTTCAGGATACCAACGGAGTGACCGGAGAACGGGAATGTTTGGTCTGGGTCTGAGGCGTGGGAGCTAGATCAACAGGTCAACAGGCGGTGTGGATACAGGGACAGTACATATGGTTGGTGACCATCTATCGCTAAACTAGAAGTCAAAAGTAGTTTAGATGACACAAGATGTTTCACAAGGATGTATGTCGACATCACCGTCTCCCTAACTCAAGACAGGAGGTTTGGATTATGGCATCATGTGATAATGGTCACATGACCCCATCATATCTCTCTCTAGCCTTCAGCACACCCTGGACCTCTGGACCTCGACGTTACCTTAAGAGACGCCTATGATTCCTACTTATGATCATCCCGATATCCAGTTGACAACGCTTTAGAAGGTCACAAGTCTAATGCATGAAGAGCAAGGATATGGACCAGATGTAAGATACTCAGCTAGAGTACTGAAGTAAGATCTAAGAACTATTTAAGTGGAATGGCTAGCGGTTTGAAGATCGCATAGTACTTTCACATCCTACCTCAGTTGGCGTCCTGATTGACCCGTTCGGGCCTTCATTTCCGAACTGACGGCGGGTAGGACTGGAACGGGGTTGCATCTGTGTCTTTCCGAGGATGGCTGCAACTATGAAGCGGGTGAGAACCGGCCACTGAGCGTGGCTTGGACTTATCATCGTGAGACTGCTACTACACCCACCGCGCCTTACAACGGTCTCTCCTGACCTTGGCCAGCAGTGGTTGCCAAAGCAGACCAAATGAGAGTATGGAGCTGCACCTGGCTGCTCTGCCTGAAAACCGAAGCACCTATTCAAAACAGCGCTCAGTAGAGTCACCATAGGCTGGGCGAAATCGACGCGGTGTATCCTGAGATTTCCCATCATGCAAAGGAGCGTTAGATCTGATGTCGAGGTCAGATTGCTTGGTAGCTGAGGTAAGACTCTGTACTGGAGTGTGTTCTGCAGCAAAGAGCGACATTGAGAACATTCCGTACTCCATATCAGTATGTCTCATGTACCCCAGAGGCCCAGACCCGCAGACCGTCCAGAATCAGTAGTAGAAGTCAAACTTAGAAGACTCCTAGAGTCCGCATTTCGAACTAACTTGGAAGATCCGCAATCCGTTCTACAAATGGCGATTTTTGGTGCCATTGGACTCAATGATTGGACAATGCACCAAGCTAGGTAAGCGCCAAAGGTACCTAGTCAAAGTGGACCACTGCAAGTTTCATTATTGTGGTGCATGATCACAGTTCACGCCATCAGAATGAAATGCGGGACGAAGAACACTGATGAGATCTGATGCGACGGCAGGCGGCGATGGCGCCATCGATCTCGAATCACGTGCTCCCCACCCGCAAAATGGCTGCCGCAGCACGAGACTGGTAGCTGCTCTTGCGTGATTCAGGCACTTCATCAATAATGTCTCTGGGATGAATCACTCTGGTAAGGGACAGGCATAACATATCACCAGATCTGCAAATTCTAGCTCTTACTACGCTCTCCAGTTTATAAAGCTAGCTCTCGCTTGTTCGAAGTAACCTCGACACTTCTGTTCCTTATCTACTTATCGGTTACCACCGCCTTCCCGGGTACTCATCTCAAACACCACATCATCTCCGACGGTCGCCACATCGGTCGTACACCCTACCTCCTCCTTTCTCTCACTTCAATTGACGTTAGAGTGTTTCTCGCTGCTGGAATCTTCGATTCTTCAAATCTCGACGACGTTCGCAAAAGATCGTTGGCGCGACTCGAAATATACCTAATGAGTGATTGAGTGACGCTATGGATGCCCATGAACTGTCGTTTCGCGATGGTCACGGATCCCCTGCCTGGACTATGAAAGACGAATGTGCCTCGGAGGAGAAGGCGCTAAATTTCGCAGGAAATTCTCCCTTTGCATCTGTATTTGGCCCATCTGAGACCGTCGAAGATGTTGAAAAGGAGCCCGAATCTACACAGGACAAGCCCCACAGTTTCAACACCCAAAAACCAATACGTGAAAAGTTGGCTGGCAAGAACATCGCACCCTTTCTGGCCAGGCATATCCCCGAACAATACGCTCCTCTTGGTTCGCAAACTGGACAGCCGGTAGCAATCAGCAGTGCGAATTCCAAATACTGTTATCGTCACCGACCAGATTTAAAGTGCAGGCGACAGGCTGATGAACCAACAATGGACAAGTTACAACGGGTAAGCTTTTCTTCCAGCATCCAAGTGCACCAACCTTGTCAAGTGTCTCGCGCTGACAGACTGCAAAGGAATTAGAAACACTGCCACAGAGTGATCAACAAGGCATCGCGCATGCTTGGTCGATTTTTTCTGCCGCCCCGGCGAAGCACCGAAAACTTATATTACAGGGAATAATGGCACAGTGTTGCTTTCCGCAACTGTCTTTCATCTCGGCAACAGTCCGCGATTTGATTCGTATCGACTTCCTCACGGCTCTCCCTCCAGAAATCTCCTTCAAAATTTTATGTTACTTGGACACGACCTCGCTCTGCAAAGCCGCGCAGGTCTCTAGACGTTGGAGAGCGTTGGCCGACGATGATGTAGTTTGGCACCGAATGTGTGAACAGCATATTCATCGCAAGTGCAAGAAATGTGGTTGGGGTCTTCCTCTTCTCGATCGTAAAAGGTTGCGTGAATCTAAGCGCGAAATCGAACGCCGCGCAGCTACATGGGATGTCAGCGAGCAGCCAGCGGAGACCGAAAGCAATTCGGCTACTACCGACACTGCAGCGTCAGGATCCAAGCGAAAACCTGAATCGGATAACGAAGATACGGCCATGGTAAAACGTCAGTGCACGACCATTGTTTCTCAATCAGAGCAAAATGAGGACTACTTTAAAAGACGATACAGGCCGTGGAAGGAAGTGTACAAGGATCGCTTCAAAGTGGGCACAAACTGGAAATATGGGCGCTGCTCGATCAGAGTGTTCAAGGGCCACAGTAACGGCATTATGTGTTTGCAATTTGAGGACAATATCCTGGCTACGGGGTCCTATGATGCTACCATCAAAATTTGGGACACGGAAACAGGCGAGGAGCTTCGCACCCTCAAGGGACACCGGTCCGGCATTCGCTGTCTTCAATTCGACGACACGAAACTGATCAGTGGTAGCATGGATCATACTCTCAAGGTGTGGAATTGGCGGACAGGCGAATGCATCTCTACCTACTCCGGCCACCGTGGGGGTGTAGTCGGCCTGCATTTCGACGCGACTATCCTTGCATCTGGGTCTGTAGACAAGACCGTGAAGATTTGGAATTTCGAGGATAAGTCGACTTGTCTTCTGCGTGGGCACACCGACTGGGTCAATGCGGTCAGAGTGGACTCGGCCTCTCGAACAGTGTTTTCTGCCTCGGACGACTGCACGGTCAAACTCTGGGATTTGGATACAAAGTCCTGCATTAGAACATTTCACGGGCATGTTGGCCAGGTGCAGCAGGTTGTTCCACTTCCCAGGGAATTTGAATTCGAAGATCATGATGTCGAATGCGAGAATGATAACGTTAGTGTCACTTCTGGCGACAGTCCAGCTGCTTCTCCACAGGCTATCCCTGGATTTGATGCTCAGCCCTCAGAGACTCCCTCTTCTGCCTTTGGCCCAGCTTTCGACGACGGACGTCCTTCACCACCACGTTACATAGTAACCAGCGCTCTTGACTCGACCATTCGGCTGTGGGAGACCTCGTCCGGAAGGTGCTTGCGTACATTCTTTGGTCATCTGGAAGGAGTGTGGGCTTTAGCGGCCGACACCCTCCGTATCGTTTCGGGGGCTGAGGATCGCATGGTCAAAATCTGGGATCCCAGGACCGGGAAATGCGAGCGCACGTTCACGGGACATTCAGGGCCAGTGACCTGCATCGGCCTTGGCGACAGCCGCTTCGCTACAGGCAGCGAAGATTGCGAAGTGCGCATGTACAGTTTCCAGACCTGAAAGCTCCTTTCTGTTTGCTTTCCTTTAATTGTTAATACCCCTGGGCTGGCGTTCATATCATTTCCCTATCATTGAGGGTTGAAATTCTAGGGCTCAGAGCATATGGTGTTTGGTGTCGTTCACAAGTAGGACTAGGGAATGTCCACCACGTATCTAATGATAGTAATAAAACAATTCTCAAAAGTTACAGTTTTGTCCCTGCTTGTCTACCAAGGAAGGTGGTTAGGTTTCCCTTGGAAAGTCGCTCTAGATCAACCATATTCTCAAAACAACTACGACACAAAGATATCTCGCCTGCACTTGACAACTCACAATTGCCTCCCATGACTTGATTTGTTTCTGTTCATCCATCTCCGATAAGATTGTTCAGCCATTTCCATCATTGATACCCTCATTCCTCCTAATACCCAACATGACCAACCAACCGCCGTCTTACCCCAGCTCAGAAGATGACTTGCACGTCGGAGAACCGTCGTATCGAGGCATATACGACCGCTCATCCCAACAGTCTTATAGCCATGTTTACTCCTCTGACCTTGAAGCCGGCACGGCTCCTCTCCCCACAAGAAAGTGGACGAAACCGCTGCAGGATGCCTTCGCGGCCCTCTTTCAGGCCCTAGCCAAGAAGGAGTGGAACATGACAGCTACGTTCAATGAGATGGCAGAGGCGTCGGTCGCTCTCTGAAGACTGGCTATAATCATTACGGTGATAGTGGGTGTGCTTATGTTGATAATATTTATAATTTCTGGTGGCATTTATGCAGCAAGGAAATTGCTGTCAGGGGAAGGATTGTGAGTGTGAGGTTGAAGGAGATGATGTTCAACGTCGCATTTGCTTGCTGCGAGGCTGGCGTCTTGAGCTGGGCTGGCCTACTTGCTTTGCTGGACGTTTATTGCTGGATTGTTTAGGCCTGGGAGTGTAGGGTGTTTGGTGCCCTTCCATGGGTAATTTTAAGGCCTAGGGCTTGCTGACTCTCATTGAAGAAGTAAAATAAGATAAGTGCATACGGCAGCTTTATCTTTTATCAAGGAAGCGACGAGGATAAGTATATGACTCCAATACATGTGATTTCTCATTGAGCTCCCGTCGTGCATACTCCGGGATTGAACATTGACGGCATCCCATTCAGCTACTGAAGTGAACGAAGGACAAGTCCAGCATGAGGAAACCGAGGACCTATTGGGCATCTACGGTAGAAACTCTTTAAAGACGCCTCGCTATCACACACCCACTAATGTCCCGTCGTCATGTTGTTGGCGATCCTTGCGGGGATCGATTTGCAAAAGCCATACTGTCATGGCTATTTTGATTGACGAACAGGGAACAGGTGCAATCCGGTATCCTGAGCTTTCGTCAGCTTCGGGGTATAGTTAGTATTTGCTGGTTGGCATTGCTGCAGTTCCATGGATTTGAGCATAGATAACTAAGAAAGGGGAGAGATGTATGATGTCTGTCTCTTGGTCCGCTCCCTTTTGGGATGTCCCCGTCCGTAAGGTAGCGGACTTGCTCAAGGCTCTAGATGCATCTTTATCAACACGTTCTGTGGGATATTTGACCTATTTCGCAGTTTAGCTTTCTACGTTTGAGTAGAGTATGCAGCACCATAGCTATCTTACCTGTCCATTCGTATGTCAACATGATCACTATATATAGAGAACTCCCCCTAGCCCTGTTCAGCTGGATGTTTTCGATGCATTCAGCTTTGACTGCTTTATCAACAGTCACTATCAATATTGATCATCCCTCTATTACGGTAACATAGAGCCTCTTTGCTCTGTCTTGGCTCCGATATCAAGGCCTAGCAAAATGTCTTCAAATCAACAACTGCCTCCTTACCCAGACCTAGAACTGGGACAGTCTCGAGAAGATAATAATAGGCTAAGAGATTCTAGCAGCCACTACCAGCAGCAGACACGGTATTGCTGCTGTATCCTGGACCCTCTTTATTGTTGCGGCTTCCGCTTTACGAATAATGATATCTGCAGAATATGTCTAGATCTGTTTCTAGCAGTTCTATTTTTCTCGTTCTTTGCCATGATTACCATATTTTGTATCATTTTTGACAAATAATTGAGGGAACCTGGACACTTTAATGGCTCTGCATGGCTGTGCTCATGATTGACAGGCTGTGTTCGCTGTACTTTGCTACTAAGCGCAACCACTTGCTTTGGTTGATGCAGCCTTTCGTGAATAATGAGAGGATCCCGGAGCCTACGCTACAATGAAATCAGAAGAAAAGTTGCATTCACTACACCAAGTCACTATTTTTATTGAGTGAGGTAATCTTAGGTCAGTCTACACCATATCTTGCAAGACGGGTGTCTATTCCTGTCCTTTACACTTCCATTCTTACTCCCGACTGTCCAACACTATCAATTAATTCAATACACGTACATATACCTTGAGCTTTTGCATTCTACCTACGCTCAAGACAACGCAAAATGCATGACAATCATGAGATATTGAATATCAACCTCCTGCATACCCTTACCCAGAATTAGTGCTGGAATAGATCCCTCAGCCGCGTCAAAGGAACCAAGCACTCGGAGAGATAGCAGTGACGTTGCATATGGCTTCTTCAGCACCAGCAAACAGTGTTCAGACTGTGGTTTCGGAATGATTAGCGCAACTGCGATACTGTTGATGCGTGCGATGGAGTACATCTCTGCCATAATTGCATTCGACAGCTTTACGAGTAAGACTTCTACACTTTCATGCGCAAAGCCGCTGGTGAGGACTGACCGTGAAGACTCTGTCAGTTTGCTAGAAGGAAACACTCGCTCTGTGTGTTCTTCTGGGTGTTGGAGGAGTTGTCATCATGTCTTGATCCAAGCTTGAACCTCGAGTTCAAGCGTCCGAGGTTGAACTAGAAACAGTAAGGGCAACCTTACTTCTCATTTCTCATCTTACGATCCAAAGACGTTCTGAAAGATTACATATTGCAGTTACTAGTACTAAGCGTGATATCAGGTCCAGGAGGGCATCGCATTGTGACGTTCGACTATCATTTCACAGTTGGATGTGGTCGTATCTCAGCATGGTATACGGTAAGACGACTTCCTTTCACTTTTGATCAAAATGATGAGGTGCTGACTATTCTGAAACGTCTGAAGACCAGGAGCTTGGTTACTTCACTCTGATGGGATCGTATTATTCCATTTTGCATTCACTTCATCGGAGACCAACTCGACAATTTGCTGCTCTCAGTACAGCATCTCAACTGGGGACTGTGTTACTGCACATACCTATCTATCATCTTACGGACTCTTCATTGCCTCAGTCTATATCCTCTTACCCGCATTTCTGTTTACACACACATTGCCTGAATCTCAGCTTGATGGCAGGTTGGTGATTTGGATTAGCACATCACTAGTAAGGTCTTCTGGTATGCTGTCCTTTGGGAAGACCTTACTCTACGTTCACTGCTTCATTTCGTGCTCCGCTATTCATAACTGGAGGCCTCTCATCCTCAGGCCAATCTAGCACATCTTGATCTTGCACATCCTATGCTTGAGCCCCCCCTTTGAGCAGTCCCTGCCCATTACACACCCCATACCTGAAGCCCCGCTTGTATCATGGCCTATACACTGCAAAGACTAGAACAAGCTATTGAGCTTTTTCGGAGTCCAAGCGCCAGATTGATTAGCACCCTTGCTGACGAATGCAAGTATTCTTTACGAAGTCGGCGCTTGGAGGGCAAACAGGCCATCCCATCGTGCTGGCTTGACGACGACAATGATAGCGACTACAGCCCGGACCACGAAACATCAGATGCTAAGCGAAAGCGTGCTACACGCACAGAATACTCAACTCGGCCCAAAAAACCATCTCGACGCTCGGAACAATTGATTGTCATCATGGCCTTGAAATCGATAACTGGAAGAGCGTTCCTTGCTGCTCTTCCCCTATCCGAGGCAGACATATCGCCTGAAGATGACGAGCAGTTGATGCAGTATTGGAGTATAGTCGACAACATGGAAGAATCGTCATCGGACTCGCGATACTCGCTTCGAAAGCGAGAAGGGCCGCAAGAGGGCCACGACCGGTTTGTAGACCTGGATGAAGCAGCAGCCAAGGGGTGTTGGGCGTGCCGCAAGATCCACCAAGACTGTTCACTCCTCGAAGATCAGTTTGCATATCCTTGCCAGACCTGCAAGGAGGACAACATCGACTGCGAGCTGATCATCCCTCCAGAGTGGAAAAGAGCCTGTGAGAGATGCAGACGCTCAGGAAAGACATGCTCCTACAGCCACGGCGAAACCGACCACAGTGTATCTTGTGAGCAATGTCAAGCAACGGGAATTCCTTGTATCGCCGGCCCAGCAAAGGCCAAACCGCCGCTGGAGCCAAGGACGAAGAAAAAGAAACGCGAGAGTTGTGCAGTCCCTGGTGACTCTACATCCATCTGGGACACAATTCCTCCTCTCCCGGCGAATGACGAGCCCGATGACCCGGTCGTCCTTACGCCAGCCCTAAAGAATCGCAACACCCGGATTATCTACACTTCCTTGGCCCATCCTGTGGACTTCGCCTATGAGCCACCACCAGACGGCACGAACCCCTGTCACTGGTGTAGCAATTTTGTTTATGGCATCATGGGACTGGGTAGAAGGGCCGTGGAAATCATCGATTTCGGTGATGGCAGGTATGTCGAAATAAATGGAGGGCATGTCAAAGATGGTCACGAGCCCAGTCGAATGTGCGTCACCTGTGCATTGGAGAGAATCCACATCGTGAATTGCTCACGTCACTACATTGTCCCTCTTAAGGGGTACAAAGTAGACACCTTCGACTTCGACGCTGCCTATAACAGCTTGATCCCGACACCAGGACAGCCCCCGAAACGGATCAACCCGTGGTGTTCTCTCTGCCCGAATCCAGCATTTTTTGGCTGCAGCACTCTTCAGCTTGTGAACAAGTACCAGGAGCCCGTCAAACCAACCTCACCCCATGCGCGAGGATGCGGCTTATTGCTTTGCGAACGGTGCGAGTTGTTGATGCGAGCCTACCGTGGGAATCTGGCCAAAGTGGTTGCCAAAAACGACCAGGCAAACGCAGAGTTTGGGAGTCGTGCTGACGTTGTATATATTTTGCCTGGGAATGACCTTTATCGCTTCTATACTAAGCAGGAAGATGATTGAGGAAAGTGGAAGGAGAGGTGGAAGCAGATGGAAAGGGAGCAAGCTGTAACTAGGATGATTAGTACCTTGTGACTCGACTACTTTAACCGCAGCAGAAGATATTGAATTAGTCTCAAGGTTGCGTCTTCCCACAATACAATGACAATATCAAGAGATACGGGCTTAACTCGTCAAGTTAGTCCAATATCATGGCTGTGCTTTCTTTCGTCGTTGTCTATAGTAGAAAATGATCAATATGAGTGGTGTTGACGGTCAACACTCCGAGTCTGTCAATGGCTAACACACTAGTATCATCACGATCATGGATCAATCTTCATCTGTTTCTTCTATTGTTATTCCTCTTATTCTGCATCATCTGAAGAACACAATAGAGAAAGCCAGAGACTAAGGCGACCACGGTGAGATAATACCTCTCATCTGCAGCCATCTCTTGCTCTGCCTCTTTCTTTCCTCCCTGGTTTGCTCGCAAGACGAATCATCTTCAACACCCACTCTCTTCTAACATCATCAATATCTCGACACAGAAGGAAGAAGATTCAACAG